GCCCTACCTCCAGTTCACAGCCATGTCCCGTTAGAACTTCAATTTCTTCTGAGCTTGATGCCCGTGAATTTTGTGCAGGACGCGATGCAACCCCGCTGGAAAAGTCGGCGAAGTGACAGAAATAAAGCAGGAGATACATGGGCGTAGGAACAGGGGAGGGGGGTGGGCAGGGGGGGCATGGCCCTTCCACTTTTCAAGGTGGCGGGGGGGGGGGGCAGCAATGTTAACTGCCCTCCCCCCCCCCCCCACACACACACTTTTCAGATTAAGGTTGCATTTGGCTCACTTTTGCACTACATTAAACATGCATGCCGATTTACCTAGTTCACCAGCCATCTCCCTTAAAATGCGTCATCTTTTTCGTATACTCATTGGCCATCGCTTAGTGTCACGGTGGCAAGGCCGGCGCCGCACGGCCTGGAGACTGCAACACCAGGCGTCGAGGCTGTATGACTTGCGAGCGCGCATGTTCAGGACCATATTATGCAGTTTTCTTATCGGTAGTCAGCTCTGATAGGATCTTGAGCATTTTAAGGCAATCATGAGTTGGTCATCTTAATACAACTTAGGAACCCCATTTCATCTACAATCTACAGTCAGGGAGCACTCAATATCTCTGAAGAACACAGAAAAATACGGAACTGGAGTCTATGTGACAACTATCGGATTACCTGCGGTGATCAGAGATGTTGTTGCGTCAGTGAGGGTTTCTATGCTGATCCGGGGCCAACTGCGCGGTTCAGAAGGCCTCTTGTCAGGGAGGGGAACAGTGTGAATATGATATGTCCTTCTCATGGCCTCCGGATCGACCAGGAGATCCCGCCCCGTGCCACCAGAATAATAGCCAGAAGACGCTTTGCAATGGGCCGGAATGGCCCTTTAGTCCTTGACCGGAAACGGCAATGTTCTCCTGTTGTTCTGCTCAAGAGTCCCCTTGCCCGGAAGGAAATACGGGGTCTCAGTATCGTTGGGTAAAGGGGTGTCTCATCAATGTTGAATAAGGTGGGTCGAAATGAGCTTAAAGACGAGCAAGGTCATGCCATGTTTGCCTGAGAACGCCGCACGGCATGGCCAAAACCGAAAAGTTCCGGCCACTGCAAGTGCCTCTAGATAGCGGGCGGCTTGTTAATTTGTCTTCTGGATAGATAAATAACTGCAAAAAAACACGAAAATAGGGATTTTACCCTCACTTTTCCAGTTCAACCACCAGATTCCAGCCCCACTTCGCGGTGCTTTAAAGGCCAATCCATTCTTTTTATCAGTCTAAAAATTCTACACGTAAAATATGCGCTCAGACTGCCTTCTAAATGTAAGATGTGATGTCACGAAGTGTTTAAGGATGCTTCTTTAGAAGCGACGTCATTTTGTTGACGTCATCAAATTGTTGACTGTTCCCCTCCCGCCCCCCCCCCCCCCCACTTTTCAGATTAGGGTTGCATTTGGCTTACTTTTGCACTAAATTAAATACGCATGCCGATTTACCTAGTTTACCAGTCATCTCCCCCAAGATGCGTCATCTTTTTCGCTTACTCATTAGCCATCTCTTAGTGTTACGGGCGCAAGGCTGAGGCCGCACGACATGGAGACTGCAACGCCGGGCGTCGAGGCTGTTATTGCTACGACTCGCGAGCACGCATGTTCAGCATCATATTACGTAGTTTTCTCGTCAGTTATCAGCTCTGACAGGATCTTGAGCATTTTAAGACGAACATGGGTTAGCCAAGTTAATAAAATTGGGAATCCTATTTCATCTACAATGTACAGTCATGGAGAACTCAATATCTCTGAAGAGTACAGAAAAACACGGGACTGGAGTCTATGTGACAACATCGGACTACTTGCAGTGATCAGGGATGTTGTTGCGTCGATGAGGGCTCCTGTGCTGATCTAGGGTTAACTGCGCGGGTCAGAAGGCCCCCCAGTCAACAGTCATCAATTTGATGACGTCAACAAAATGACGTCGCTTCTGAAGAAGCATCCCTGAACGCTTCATGACATCACATCTTACATTTAGAAGGCAGTCTGAGCGCATATTTTACGTGTAGAATTTGTAGACTGATAAAAAGAATGGATTGGCCTTTAAAGGGATGTCAGGGATGGGAACAATGTGATACGATATATCCTTATAATGGCCTCCGGATGGACCAGGAGATCCCGCCCCGTGCCACCAGAATGATAGCCAGAAGACACTTCGCAATGGGACGGAATGGCCCTTCAGCCCTTGACCGGAAACGGTGTTGTACCCGTGATGTTCTACTCAAGAGTTCTAGTACCCTGTACCCTGTACCCTGTACCCTGGTGTTCTTCTTGCCCGGAAGGAAATGAGGGGTCTCATTATTGTTGAGTAGAGTGGGGCTCTCATTATTGCTGAATCGCGCGGGTCGAAATGAATTTAAAAAAAACGAGCAAGGTCACGCCAGGTTTCCCTGAGAACATTCATTTTTTCGAATGTATTAATGAAACAAATTACATCAAAAGGCTTGAACATGCCCGCCCGCAACCTCGAGAGCAAGGACAAGGATGGTGTGGATTGCAACTTCCGTAAAACCGAAAAGTTGCGGCCGCTGCAAGTGCCACCAGGTGGCGGGTGCCTTGTTAATCTGTCTTCTGGACAGATAAATAGCTGCGAAAACACGAAAATATATATTTTACTTTCACTCTTCCAGTTCAACCACCAGATTCCAGCCCCATTTCGCGGTGCTTTAGGAGCCAATCCGTTCTTTTCACCAAACTAAAATTGCACACGTGAAATATGCGCTCAGACTGCCTTTTAGATACGAGATCTAATATCATAAGCGTCCAAGGACACTTTTTTCAGAAGCGACGTCCTTTTCTTCCACCCGTTGCCCACAACTTAATATTAGCTGCTGGGTCGATGCTGCGCGGCCTACGGAGACTGCAGCGCCTGAGGTCGAGGCTAGTGTTTTTGAGATTTTCGAGTGTGCATGCTCAAAATTACGTCACGTAACTTGCATTACTAGTTGATTTTAGTGATTTAAGGTAATCGTTTCAAAAGCATCATCATTTTCGTCCGCCGGTGGGCCACGGCTAAATATTGGCTACTGGACTACGCTCCGCAGACTATGGAGACTGCAACGCTCAGTGTCGAGATTTTTGTTGCGATTTGTGAGCGCGCATGTTAAAAAACACTACATAAATTGAACGCCTAGTCGATTCTGATTGAATGGTGAACATTTTCAGACAACCATGGCTCGGCGATGTTAATACACGTTGTTGACCACTCGATCTGCAATCAAATTTTAATCTTCAAATTGGGATCAAACGTATCGATCTACAATTTTCCTTCGCGATGTCCTCAGTGTCTGTAGAACCCAATTTTGACAGGGCTCCTGAATTTTATCGGCTTAGAAAGAGTCAACTACACACCGTAAATTAAGAGCGCCGGTGATTTCTTCCATGCAGTCGTTCAACGCCCGATTTATGCAGTTTATTGACCTCAAAATGCAAACAGAACTGAGCGCACGGTAGCTCCTGGTTTCTGTTCTGGTTACAAGACAAAAATAACAATAAAACGAAGAAACCGTGTCACTTGTTAACAAGCAAGCTATATCCGGGGATTTGGGGAGAGATTAACATAAGATGGGCTTTTGTCAGCCCTGTGTTTCTCCTTGGCAGGGCTCTGGCTACGCTTGTGCCTACACACAAAAGCAGATCAAGTCCTTTGCGTCGCATGATGGGCAATGAAGTGTCCGTTGGGCCAGTTTATACCTAAAGCAGACAGCTTCCCGCAGGCTATTTTTTCTGCGATGGTGTGGTGTGAGGGAAAACAATTCAGAAAAACATACTGTTGCAGGTGTCCAACACTTGTTTCATGCACCATGTAGTAGTAACGCTGGTCCTAAAGTATGCAACAAAGCGGCCATACGATCAGTTCGCAGTCAGTCATGCGGTAGACATCCGGGCCAGGGCAGTGGCCGCCGACGGCGGACAGGAGCAAGGTTCAGGTAAGGAACATGTGACAGATGGGCGTTACTTTGTGGCTTGATTCTTAAAGGAAAATCTCCAGTTTTATGGCTTTTGTTACATTGCTTCTAGCAGTTTCAAGCTCCCGAATTTGTTCCCGTATAAAGTGCTGCGACAATTCTTATCTCTTGAAAAGCAGCCAGCAAAATGAAGGCGCATGAAAAATCTGTTGCGCTGCGAGCCATCGATCCACTTTCAAAATTCTCACCAGCCTTTATCCAGGCCGTATTTTGACATCTACACTGTGGAGGCAGATGCTTCCTCAACGGCCCAAAATGCCTACCCGCTCGTGAAATTTCACCTCCCAGGCAAAACAAAGTTAAAATGGACGAATGATCTGAGGAAGCTGGATAGCCTTATTTGCCAGATGACAGAGGAGTCGAATAGGCAAGATTGTGCACCAGCGGGAAACAGCTCTAGATGCATATCTAGCATAGCAGCAATGATATCTGAACATAGAGCGATAACAACTTCCATCCCTCCCCCCCCCCGGTCATCAGGCTTGCTTTCCAGAAAAACAATCCTGGAGTACACCCCGAATTTGCCCCCCCCCCCCCACACTTCTTGAAACGTTCCTACGCCTATAAGGAGATATGTTCATACATTTCCGTGCATCCTTTTCCCCTATGTGTATTAAGAGGTTTCAGAAAGTACGGTGCGGCTCAAGTTGGCATTGGGGGCTCCCCCTAAAAAACTTTGTTAAGCAACACCTCTGGCTGTGACTATCTTGCCTCCTTTTTGTACGCTCCTTTTGTTTATGAAATTGCAGAGCTACTTGCCATTTAGCTACGGTATCCCCCTGGTTCAATAAGCTATTCGTAACGCATTAGAAACAAAAGTATGGGTAACATCTACAAATCATGCCAGTTTTTGCTATGGAATTATAGTGTCATGACAAAAGCTGCAAATATCAGGCACTAGAAATGCATATTTTCAATTTATTTATTTGATGTTTTCTATGTCGACAAAAGTGGTGCGTATTTGCCGAAACAAGACGAAGTAAAACGCGCAGGACCGAGGCGAAAATTGGGGAGAGGGAGCGGCGCGCTGAGTGGCGTTGTGGGTACTGTGATATGGTCTAATCTAGATACCGCAAATGGAACGTTGAGGAAAAAGGAGCTGAATCGAACCATTTCCTCAATATTCCTACTTTTGCAAGGAGTTTGGTCAAAGAGGGGGTAGAGGTGGTCTTAGGAGGCGGCGCGCTCCGTTCCGAAATCAAGGCGCTGTGATGTCTGGGCAAACAGGTGGGGCAGGTAAGGATTTTCTCATTCGTGTACTCGATGCCTCTTTATCTCAAAGCATTGAATGTGACAGTGGTGGAAAATACTGTTCAATATTTTGTGAATTGAAATGTTTCTCTGACCCTGTCATACATCACTTTTAAATCAGCTCATTATTGCATGTCATTGTGCGGTGAAATATTTATTTGAAAGTTGATATGCTTGAGCCTCGCATTGCAGCCACAAGGACTGATTCTAAGGATCAGAAACTGGCACAATTGTTGGCACATATGTCTGTGTGCATTTATGAATGAGGACCTCATGAAAGAGGAAAGGAAATCAAATGCAGTTTATGAGACATTGAGTGCTTAAACTATACACTGTGCTGAAAATTTCCAACATAGCAGAGAAATCATGGCAACAATTTCACTACATGTACTCTTTATCTGGATACTCAGAGTTTGATGCATTTTTGCTGCCAATTTCAACATGCAGTCAATGTTTCAAAGAATTTTGATGTTTCAAAGGTAATAGCAGGTCAGTATATTCCCAAAATATTTGTGCTAGAGAACCATCTTGAAAGTGCAGCATAAATTTATGTAGCCTGAGTTTGACACACACATTAAATATTCAGGGCTCAAGTGTCTCATAGGCATCCATCACCATGGTTGGATTTTTTTTGCAGGCTGATAAAGGACAATTGGTGGATGAAATCAGTGAAGGGAGCTGTCTCTTTAGTCTCAGAAAGCATTAAGCATTAACTGTATGCTAGTGCATGGAAGGAAAAAGTAGTGAGACTATGTTTGTCCAGATACCTCGCTCACACAACACAGTTTTGGTCATCACTGCCCGTAAGAGCATGCTGCTTCACCTTGCTTACTAGCACATCAGAATACAATATCAGGAGGCCCAGAGAGAGCCTAAGATTGGCATGATGATGGATTATTCTGCTGTTATCAAGAGGGGCCCATGAGGACTTGCAGAGATTGTCATGATGATTATACTGCATTGTACTGCTGTTACCAAGAGGGGCCCCATGAAGACTTGCAGGAACCCCATCCAGGTAGGAAGCTGTATTTTCAAAAGCTTGTATGCCACTATGGGAAGAAACATAAATATGTGGTTTTGTGATATTTTATTTGTATGCCTAATTGTTACACACTATATAAAATATCCATTAATAAGGCTGTCTACAACTTGTCAGAAGCCTTGCAAATAAAAATAAGCCAAAAATATACATAATCAGTGGCACCAGACTGTCTGATCCAGATACTCATGTTTGTTTATGACATGAGCAAACCCTTGGTGGATCAAGATACACTAGGTTAAATGACATCAGTGAGCTTGGCAGATATCAATTTTAGTGAAAAAGCTGCATTATGTGCCCCACATCAAGTGACTCTGAGTATGCAATGTTCCACTAAAAAGGCACTGGCTTCTCAATGAGCAGGTGCTGGTGTGATAACAAGTAGGCACTAGTCTGGCAATGATGTAAGCACTGGTCTCACAACATATAGGCACTGATACTATGCAAACTAAGCATGATGTGATGCAGACTAGTGCCATACTTCATTCATTTCCCAAATCATCTTATTCACAATGAACATATTTTTGAACTTGTCATCATAACAGACTAGGTTGTTAGATACCAGCAGGAGTTGAAATGAAAGTCTAGGAGTAATTCTACCAGGTACTGGCAGCGGAAAAAAATACTGGAAATGATCACTGCTGACTGGCTTGCTCACACACCTCCCATGCCACACACAAAGTCCTTTAGGGCTCCTTGTTTATTCTTTGCAGCAGTTCTATCCCAGGGTAAAATGTTGGTTGCTACCTGTGACCAAGCAGTCAAGAGATCCATCCTCACTTTTGAAGCATTACAATGCACACTGCCCAGTCCCTGAGATATGTGCTTTCCAAACTCAAAATTGTATGACTATCACCATCACAATTGCCCAAGCATGTTTTGTTTACATACTGCCTGGTGGTGAGCATCAAGGACATATCTTTTATCCAACCTGAAGTAGTTCTGAATCCATCATTGTGGATGCTTAAGCTCATCAGTATTATTTCATTTCTCCTAAGTCATTAAGGTCATTTTTCAGATGTGATGTTTGCTGGATGTTCTCAGTGACAGATTTAAAATAAAAAGATAGATAAGTATAAATATGTATATGGGCATGCATGGGATGGTATCAGTGAAATGTAAGCAATTCCATAGTATACCCCTGATATTACATAGTTTGAAAAATGCATTCATCACCATAGCCAAACATTGTGTAACTGATCCAAGATGAAGATAGCCTTTTTGCATTAGTCCACATAAAAAGGAACAAGGAAGCTTTTTGTAAGGGCAAAATTGGCTGACTGCCCCACTCACTGGGATTTCTTAAGTAAAAATGTGTGACATAGGTATGTGATTTTCGCTTTGCAATCAAGCTGATGTTTTGAAAAAGGAGCACAGGTCATTGTGCCACAACAGAGCCATGCTTGTGCATCTGAGAACATGAAGTTTGGGTTTGAATTTATTTGAAATCTGTAAGCTAGCTGGTAATATCCCTTAAATCATCTTGATTGACAGGATTCCTGGGATGGTCCCTTTTTATGTTGAGCTGACTTCCTCACCAGAAGTCAGCCCAGTCTAGTTTACCAGCCCAAGGTTAATCCATTAAGATTTATTGATGGCAATGTATATTCAGAAAGATGAGCAGATGATATCATTAGCTGAGATGGATGTTGATTAAATGTTCTTAATAACTGAATGAAAGAAAATGTCCTGAATTAGGCCCCTTTGAAACCAAATGTAGCAAAGCTAGCATCTAAAAATACTAACCTTGAAGCATTTGGTCAGATGTTATACATGTATCATGGTATGAAATTATTCTCAAATCATATAGACTTTTTGCAGGAATTGGATAAGAAAAAACTGTTAAACACAATCATAACAGTTATCCATTTATCTGACATGTAAGGTCTTGATGGCTACGTCGGAAGCCATGCTTCGTCAAACCCAGCCGGCGAATCAGCACTGGGCCGTCACGAGATAGGCAGATCGTTTCTGCAGCGGTCCTGAAGACATGTTTTACCCCATCAACATAAAATGTTGGTGAAGATTATTGTAAGTCCTTTTGATGGAGTGTGGAGAGTCATTCAGTCAAGAAGTACTTTCTTGGTTGCTGACTGCAAGGATTGGGAATTGCATGTCATTTGCGACGCTGCAGTCATTGTGCGGGTTGTGCGGCTTTGGATTCATGATTTCTACTTACTGCACCACATTTTCAACACTTGTCTGGGAAACATACCTACCAAGCAGGCTTGAACAACAGCTGTGATGGCATGACCATCATGTCATGCCTGTTCCGCGTAGGGAAAAAATGGTCATGCATGATTGATGGACAAAAAGTAGCCTCAAGTACTGGGTGGAAGTGGGCCCAGCATACTTGCCTCTTAATAATAGCATTATAAGCATTGCAAGAAGATTTCTAGCATTTCAAGAACTTGTAGACCAAAAACAGTTTACCCTAACCCCCATGCCATAAATAGTGCAGTAACCAAAAGATCAGTTAAAAACTGGCTTGTTTTCAGCTTCCATGCTTCTACATTGCATTTTTTAAATGTCTGAGATTTAGCCTTAAAAGACTAGACTAAGAGTCTTCCCAATATGCTCGCATTACTTCACTAGTTTGCCCAGTGGCATCTCGTGCTTTTGTTAGTGTCCAGTGGTACCCCATGCGGACTTGCAGTGCCTTTTCCTCGCCGCGCCTCGGGTTCCCCATTCCCGTCTTTCAGGGTTGTTCCGTTCGCTGCGTTCGTTTTGACGCCGTTGGTCATTGCAGTGGTGCCTCGCAACTTCCGGCTGTTGGAGGAGCTGGAGGCGGGACAGAAGGGCAGCGGCGACGGCACCATCAGCTGGGGCCTCGAGGATGACTCGGACATGACGCTGTCTCGCTGGACCGGCATGATCATCGGACCGCCCGGCGTACGTGGTCGCAGCCGCCGTTGCAGCTCTGAGAAATCGACTTGCTCTGCTGAGGCGCCGTGTGGCAAGGAGTGTTGGCAGGGAGGGGGGAGAGCGGGCTCTCTTGCCGGCGCCTTGTGATGCTACATTGTGGTCTACTGTAACGAACAGTGGAAATTAAGCGCCTGTATGGTAGTCATGATACGTTTTGCTCAATGATGTTCTGGTCGTGAATTGGACAGTCATATGTCTCCCATGGAACGGATGTGACACGATAGGAAAGCGAATTTGTACAGCCTTCAAGGGCCTCAAGTTTTCCTCTCTGTCCGGCATTTCATAATCTTCCCCTCCTCGGTGCATTGCCCATCAGCCCAGGCACCAGCTGACGTCCTGTGTATCGCTTGCAGACAAAGTTCGAAAATCGTATGTACAGCCTGCGACTGGAGTGCGGGCCCAACTATCCGGACGAGTGCCCGGTGATGCGGTTCATCACCAGAATCAACCTGAGCGGTGTGAATGCCCAGACCGGCGTGGTGAGTGGCCGGGGCCCGCTGCACAACTGCCCTGTCGACGTCGCGCTCTGTCAGTGCATGGTGAAGAACACGAGGCGATTACCTGCCGACAGAATACACAACAAGTTGAACATCAGGCCGCGACATGCTATTGGGGAGAATTTTCAGAACAGTACCATGTGCTTGGGAGTTACGTTCTTTGCAGGCTTGGGCCTTTCATTCTTTTATGTCTAATAACGACAGCCTTGCGTCAGGGCATTGTTCAATGGCAAGTCGGCGGCTACATTGTTGCTTTTGCACCGCTGGCGCCGCATGTGCATGGCTGGAGACATCCCGTTTTACTAGCGATTTTCCCTTTTAATCTTCAATTTTGCGTGGGGAGCGGGGACACGCTCTGACAGAACCAGCAGTTTGTTTTTAAATCATTCATCGTTCCCACTTCGTCATCCGGATGACTCATTGATATGAACGAAATGACGGCCGCCTTGCGCCCATCACACTCAGTGAGGGTGCAGCGGTCCGGCGCGCGTGCGACTCACGTCGGAGCAGGTTCGAGTTCGCGTTATCTAGAGCCGAATGCGCAGATTGCCCTGTTGCATCATCTGTCCTGAACCTGCCTTGGGTAGTCTATGTGGTTGCGATCGTCGTGTTAAACCTGTTTACATCTGCGCTGCGTGTATCTACGTATTTGTCCGCAACTTGAAAGCCAATGCGTTGCTTGTAGCAATGTTCAGTGACGTTCAGAAAGCACTTCCGCCTTGCAGACTGCAGCTATTTCATATTGCTTGCGTCATGCCGTGCTCCAGACGCCCAGCAGCCCTGGTGCCGGGCGGGCCGGCTGCCAAGGTCCGCCGCGTCTCCCGTCCCGTCTGCTGATCTCCCCTAACCGACCCGCTCCGCAGATCGATAGCAGAAGCATTCCAGTCTTGGCGCATTGGAACCGGACCTACACGATTAAGACGGTGCTCATGGACCTGCGCCGGCGCATGACGGCCAAGGAGAACAAGGCGCTGCCGCAGCCGCCCGAGGGCAGCAACTTCAACTGATACTCGCCAAGCCAGGCCAGGCCGGCGCCGTCTGTCACGTCCTGATGTATACTATATGAGCGCGGCGCGGCGGCCGGCGGAGGGCGCGGCCGTCGCACCGCCGCCGGCCGCCCGCGCTCAGTGATGCCGACCGGTGCTGCGGCACCCAGGCGGGAGCGTCGCTTCGCCGCCGCCCGCTGTCAGGCCCGCGATAACCTCGGTGGGCGGCTCGGCGGCTGGGCGCCTGCCGCCGGCCTGCGCCGCCGCCGCCGCTGCCGCCGCCGCGCAGCCGCAAACGGAAAACACCGGGCGAGGCGCTATTGTTTTGATGATTTACTTGCACCGAAATACATGAAGCCAATTAACAGGTGGTGGTGTTGGCGCCTGCCGCGGGGCAGAGTTTGAGCAAGGACTCGTACGGGGGTCGATCACAAACGGTGCGACATGCTGGGTCGTCACGGCGACAACCACAGATAAGGCGCCGTGTCGGACAGCGGGACGATGGTCGAGTCAACACCCCCCATGGGCCTCCCACCAGGCGCGGGCTGCTGCATAAAGCTAGCGCCACGACGAACAACAATGCGCTCCGTTGCGAGACAGCACTGGACACAGCGCTAGGTACATGACGGCAATTGGCGGCGGGCTGGGCCGACTCCGGCGTCAGCCGAGGAATCCTCGGATCTGCCGGTTCTCTATCCGCTCCTCAGCCTCCAGTTGAGCGGTCAGCGTTTTGTTGAGCACGGCTCCCAGCTCGGACGCCATCTGTGGAAGAGGAGCGAGCGGCGGCCGTCACATCACCGAATACGCTTGTTTAGTCCACAAGGCCATCTTCAGATCAGGTCCGCAAAGGTGGCCTCAAAACACGACCACTCCAATGGAAGACCGTGGGTTGCATCCGTCGACACAGCCACTGGCGGGACACCGGCCACCGATCGGAATTACGCGCGCCGCGAGTCTTCTCCGCAGCCGCCGCAAACGACCCCTCCTCCCTCTCCCTTATCGAGGGGCCCGACCAACAAGAACAGCGCCGTCATGTACACCGAGGTTGTGCAGCTTACAGCACACATTGCCTCCGGCCTTCCCACCACTGGTGAATCCCACGAACTGTCCTACAATTAATAACCTTGCGGCAATCGGCATGAAGAACCGCGACGCTAGACTGTCCTGGCATTTACAAGCGTCGGACTGTTGTTTTCAGCAGCCCCGGCCCGACCGGCCCCGGTGCGCGAGGCGTACCTTCAGCGCGTGGCTGACGGTGGCCGGGTGGAGGCTGCCGCGGCCGGCCTTGGTGACGGCTGTCACGCTGCCGGTGGCCGTGACGGCCGTCACCAGTGACGCCTTGCTGCACGCCTCCTCCTCCTGCGTCGGGTCGACGATGCACTCTGTGTCCACCTGGCGGCGGCCGTCCACGCTCCATGCACTCATGTATACGTACAGTGCAGTACGGACGTCAGCTACTTTCACTGAACCGCCTGCGACGTCAATGTTACCACCATAAAACGATTCAATATATTGGTTTAGGCAGCTGCCAACGAGTTCCAAGCAATCACATCCAGCAACATAGGTTTCTCCAATGTAATGTATTTTGCCTCAGATAAGAAAACCAAGTTCTGAAGCTAATAGAATCATCCTGGTCCACCCCGACAATGGCGTAGCTCCCACATATTCTCGTCAACACGCGGAGCGCAGCCACCAACACTTTGAATGTAGATTGTACGCCGGAAGCCGGGGCGCCTGGGCAGAGCCCGCCAGCCGTAGACCATGAGCACGCGACCAATCGCCGGCCCGGAACTCGCCAGCCCGTTCCCAGCTCACCAGCAGCAGTGTGATGAGGCAGGGCGCGTTCTCGACGCTAAGCCGGACGACCTTGAACGGATCGTCGGAGAGCTCCACGTCGACGCGGCCGCTGTCTGCCCGGCTCACCTCCAGCTCCGGGATACGCGCGTTGAACAGCGCCGCCTTCACCGTGCACGACACCGCGTCGTATAGGTTCCCACCGCACTCCAGAATCTGGCCATTTCGTGAACTGTGTCATCACCACACTCCAACATCCAGGGACATCGTGCGTTTTGCACGGGAAATATTAAGGGGCCATTTGATAGCAGCATTCCGGAACGAAACATCCGCCCTAGACCTAGAATGTTTGCACACCATATCGAGTTCCGCTATTCTACCGCATTTCACATTTCAGCACCAGGTAATGGTACAGGCAATGTCTGATTAACACGCAGAACTTTATTTCCGCCAAAGCTTCCCCACCAGGATGTCGACGTAGAGTATCCAGCACTGCTGCGCGGGTACGATGGCCAGCTGTCGCAGGTCGAGCACGCCCGGGCTGGAGTAGGCTCGGGCCAGACAGCTGGCGATGCTGCCGGCCAACGCCTCGCCGCCGCGACCCTCGAACTCGGGCGTGGCGTTGGCCGAGCTGCCGGCGGGGCTCGCGTCACTGGCCGACGACATCCCGCACTGAGCCCCGACGGCGGCCGCCCTCATCAATCAGGCTACACCACCGTCAGCATCGTCAAAATAAAGGCCATGGATAACTTCTGCCTAGAACACCCACTTTCAGCTGATGAGGGAAATCAAATAAGCTGTGACTAGAAAGACTTGTTTAGCTCCAAGCAATCATGCATGGAAATCGGCCATAATTATATGTTTTCAAATATTTTAGTAATGATTTTACATGATCCGAATTCACAAAGCTATCTGTTCTAAAAATCATCACCAACAACACTTCCCGCATTGAGGATCGAACCGGGCCGCACCAATCGACGGAGAACTCGAGGCGGCCGCAGTCGGGCCGGGCGGCGTCGGGCGCGCCGATCTCGGCCTTCACGCCGACCAGCACGTCCGTGTTGGCCAGCCGGACGCGCGCCGAGCCAGCCGCGTGCGTCACCAGGCCCGTCTCGGCCTCCAGGGGGCGGTAGTCGTGCCGCCGCCGGCCGTCCGTCCGCAGGTCCTCCTGCGCACCGCGGGAGGTCACGTCCGACACGTATGGCCACCCCCTCGGGCGAGGACATGGACGTCAGGCATATGTGTGTTACCATACAACATAGTAATCATAATGTGCCTCAGGCACATCAATTGTGGACACCTTTCATTATTTCACAGTGTTATGCTTTGGCAACACACACTGTGGTGCTCACACCTACAGTAGGTGTACAAGGCACAGTAAGGTGGATGGGACGAAAAGTGTGGAGAAACTGGGAGACGCGTGGAAAAATGTGAAGTGTCTTCAAACTATGCTAGCAAAAGGATTCATGTTGAACATGGATGAAATGGTGTTGAACATGGATTCCACCTGATCCACGTAACAGACTGTTAAACAATTATGTGACAGCAGCCTGCCGCATGTTGACTGTGCTTGTGCTATGAAATGTGGTCACTTAAGAGATATCTGAGATGTTATGCATACCAATCCAAGCAGAAAAAGATGGCATGCCCTGCTGAATACAAATTGAAGTACAAAGGCTAAATATCCTAAATGAGACAAATGTAGATGACATTGGTGACTTACCTGCACACCATGGATAACAAATATCTTTTCTGCCTCACTCAGCAGTACTTCAGCCATGCTGCCAGACTTCCCTGATCAGCTGCAACCTTTTGAGAAAGCACTTGGTTACAGCACACAATCAGTCATGTTTTAAGGTAGCACCATCTTCACACTCTCCATATTATGTAATATAAAGCAATTTTGGTATGTAACCATACCTTACATATTTGATGCCATCACCATCCTAACAGCCTGTTCCAATAAGGACCCACATGTTGGTGGTTTGAAAAGGCCATCTCTGTGCTGCAGCACCCAGCACCTAGACCCAAGATAGGTCACAAGTATGGGGGTATAAAGGTTTTTGTAGAAAGGTTTTTGGAAGGACTGTGCTCTGTGAAAATTTTTCAGGGATGAATTCATTCTGTAATATTTCAGCTGCTGAAATGACCCAATGGGGTAGTGACATCAGTGCTCAACCCAGTGCATTTGAGTCATGACTGCCAAACTAATTTCAGGCTAAGATGGCTTGAATTTAGAAACAGCATTCCTCAAAACAATATTTTGGGGGAATGCAATTTTCTTAACTGGAAGGAACTGTCCCAACATGCAAATTGTTGGTCACATCAGGTTTTCACATGCTTTAGCCATAGGCCACCACATACAAAGCTGTCATCTACTGCATATATACACAGCCATTTTTTATATAATTTTGACATCACTATACTCAATATAATCTGTGTGCAATGTCTGTATTGCTATCTAGTCCCCCAAGCACTTTGCATGGGCTGATACTGTCGACATCCATGTGGGACAAAATCCTGGCATGGAACGACCAGGCCTCGCACTTCCTTTAATAGCCTGGATCGACTAAATTTAGTGCGTAAACCATGCGGTATTAGTATCAGCGGATGTGACAGACAGTCTTTTCCACCCTTCACACCTTCTCTTAGATCCACGCATCTAAAACGACCAAAAAACGATGTCTTTCAGACACACACCACCCAACCAGTTCCCATAAGCTGAAGTGTAAACTTTCGGTACTGTTTTTTCCAGGATAGTGAGCGTCGCTAACAGTTTCAGCTGAATGTACAATGACGTCAAAGAACCACAGAATCGATGCACGTCCAAGCGCGGCATGCCCATGACGACATCTAGGCGCCTCCCGTCATGCGTGTGGCCCCTAGCAGACGGACGGCGGCCGAAAGAAACCGGACTGAACAGAATGGGACCATAGAGAACCGCATGGAACCAAGTGGAACGTCATAAAGGGAGGCTGCAGTGGATAAAACCTCGATCCCGACCAGATCGGGCGGTACCAGATCAGACGAGATCTGATGGGATCAGATGGGACTGGACGAAATCGGACTGAACAGAGCAGGCCTGGACCAGCGGGCTCGAACGAAACCAGAAAGGAGCTCGCCCGACCGGGCAGGCTCGGACGGGTTTAAGCGCGACCAAAAGAAACCTGGGCGGACAGAACAGGACCAAACGAAGCCGGACGGACGCCGGACAGAAGCCCATGAGCAGGGGCGGATACGGGGCCATGCCCCCCCCCCCCCCTGGGTCCCGAAGGGGCTTATTGGCTTCGAAGGGGCACATATCCGGCCGAACAGGTGTAGTTTTTTTTTTACATAAAACGCAACAAAATCAATGGGCGTCTTTGGACTCGCAGCCGACCAAGAACAGTCGCAAACGAAAGTAAAGGGCCCGCAAGTGGACAAAAACGAAACTTCAGTGATTGAAAAACTGTTATTTAGTATTTTCAAATTTAATTGTGCTGTCCAGGGGGCCTATACCGTTTCCGGGGGCTCTACATGCTCACTTGCAGGGTCATACTGATCGTTAAACAGCCTTCCACTTCGCCCTTGATTTTCAGAATTTGCTCCGGGGCCTTGTGCTGTTGCTGGGCCCTTCCTGCTATCGCTTCGGGGCGTTCTTGTCAATCAGGAGCCTTCCACAGATTCTTTTCACTTACCGGAAAGGCTCTATACGCTATAGCTGGGCCCCATATGTTAACCTGCTGGGGTAGTCCCGGTCGCTCAGGCGCCGCTTATGTTCGTCTCGGTCAGCCTATGGACGCACTCATGATATGGTCATGGGCCCTCTAGATTGATCTAGGACGCTTCCCATTATCTGCCACTTGTTTAAGACCTTCACTCTTTTCGGGCTCTGTTAATCTGTTAATCCGTTCTAACGGAATCTGTTAACCTACTTGGGCACATAGGTCGTTCGGGGCACACTATGCTGGGTCTTGGGTGCTTTCTATATAAATGGAGGGCCCCACGCACTTTTCGGGGCCCGTCTGTTAAATTTTCGGGCACGCTGGATTGTTTTGGGGGCTCTGCACGTTGGATATTTTAATGTAGGGCCCTACACTCTTGTCGGGGGCCATCTGATAGCCAGCTGCTCGGGTACGCTCGATCCTTGACGGGCCCTCCGCACTGGGTCTTGGGTATTTCTTATTTGAATGAGGGGGGGGGGCTACGCTTTTGTCGGGGGCCTATTTGATTACCTGCTCGGGCATATTAGATCGTTCGGGAGTCCTCTACATTGGGTCCTGGGTGCTTCCTTTTTGAATGGAGAGCTCTACGCGCTTGTCAGGGGCCCCTCTGTTTATCTCCTCGGTTACACTGGATTATTCGGGGTCCCTGTTCATTAGCTCTTGGTGTTTGAATTTAGGGCCCTACGTTCCTGTCGGGGACCACCTGATGATCCGCTCCGGTGCACTCCATCTTTCGGGGGTTCTGCGCATTGGGTTTTGAGTGCCTCTTATTTTAATGAAGGGCACTACGGTCTTGTCGAGCCACTTCTGATAAGTTGCTCGTGCACATTTAATCTATATATATATATATATATATATATATATATATATATATATACTTTTTATTGTTTGTTTTAAAATCTGATGGCCAGAATGCGAAGATATTTTTGGAGGGACCTCAAACTTTAGGGGCCTCACAGCGTTGAGTAGCCCCCCCCCCCCTCCTTGACGGAATCCTGGATCCGCCGCTGCCCATGAGGCAAGACGGGACCATAGCAAACCAGGCGGGAACGGGCGGGACCAGACCAGACAGAACTGGATGAAACTGGATGAAATCTTATGGGACGGGATGGGATCGGACGGGACCGAACGGGACCAGACAGAACCGGACAGGACCAGACGAGACCAGGCGGAATCGGACGGAACCGGACATGACCGGACGGAAGCGGCCTGAACAGAACTTGACTAGACGGGACTAGACCGGATCTGACGGAACCTGACGGGACTGGACGTGACCGGACTGAGCCAGATGTGACCGGATGGGATCAGATCGAATATGCAGCCGGACGCTGCAGAGCGGGACCAGATGGAACCAGCGGGACCAGATGGAACGAGATAAAACTTCGGGAGGCCAGGCGAGACCGAACGGAACCCAACTGGACTACTAGACAGGACTGGACAGTACCGGATGGCACTGGACGAGGCCGGATATGGTCGAATGGAATCGGACAAGAGCTTGGGTAGGGTGGAATAGGACGGAGCCCTGCGGAACCAGACAAGGCCTAAAGAAATGGAACGGGATCGGATGGCCAGGAACTCGACTAATATGAACGGAACAGCACAGGGCGGGACCGGACGAGACCAGAACTGGGCTATCCCGAAGCAGTCCGGGCCGGTCCAGCTCCGTTCTGTCTGTATAGCTCCCATCTGGTCCCACCTGACCTAATCTGATTCCATCCGGCACCGCCGAGCATCGTCTGGCCCGCCCGGCCCTGTCGGCTCGAGCACATCGCGCTCTATAGGGTGCCGTCCGGTCCAGCCCTGTCCTATTCGATTTCAGTCGGTCGCATCCGGTGGCACCGGATGGCACCTAATCTCATCCGATTTGATTTGTTTACTTCCTGGCCCTTTTGGTCCCACCTGGTCCGTCCGGTTTGTCCGACCTGCCCGGTGCTATCCAGTACCATGTGGTCTCAATATTACCTTCTTTCCTGTCCTGTCTGGTTCCGTCCCTCTCTGTCCAGTTTCAACCGGCCAAGTTCGATGGTATCCGATTTCGGTCACTTTCAGGTCATTTTGGTTCCATCCGGTCTGTCCGGTCCGTTTGGTCCGTCTGGTGCCATCCGGTCTCATCTGGTTCTATTACATACCACTCTGCTCCATTCGAACACATCCGATCGCGTCCGCTCCCGTTTGGCTCTGTCCAGTTGCGTTTGATTCCATTCCGCGCTGTCCGATTCCGTGCGGTGTCTTACAGTACTTTTAGGTGGCAGTGATGTTTGGTTTTGTGACGTGACCGTAACATTGGATGGAAATGTGATATCGAATGGATACAAAACCGCTTCCAGTGACGTCACATCATCGGCTGACTCGTGATATCCTACGTTCGGCACGACAATTCACATAACTTGAGTTTCGAAACCAGTATAGGTCTTTCCAAGGCCATGTGACCCGTTCTACGGCATTGATGTGGCCCAGGTATTCCGACTGTCGTCGGTGAAGGTAATGAAAAAAGAAAGGTATTGTATAAAAGTTCATTCATATCATTGTTCATCCAGTCATTAGCTTTAATGTGAGAAGCTGAACCTGTAACGAACTGCAGTTTGTGCCATATGGGGCCCTATGACCAAACCTGGCATGTGGCAGAGTTGACATTTGTATGCATTTTATCACCTCACTTTACACCTTATGGTAATCAGAAATTGAAAAGGCCACTTTGCATGTTGATCCACATGTCCTTGAAATCCCATTCAGATAACTGAATGGCTAAATTGGGGATGTGATCTGTGTGGGATATGATAACACATACAATAAGGGAAGGATTGTGTCAGGTGATTGAGCCATCATTCCACAGTTAAATTTAAGGTAAACTGGTAAAAACCTGGTTGTGATGGAGAAATTCCACAACTCCTATTACCCATCTCATCCCTTCTTATAGTTTCCGTATTTGTTATTTGATTTTGGTTTTAGGTTTTATTACCTGTCATTTTTTCTCCATCTGTGTGTGATACATTATTCCCTAAAGAATGTATCAAATCAAAATAAAAGTGAAGCATTCATAGTGAGCACAAGGTGATGATGGATATGCTTTGTGTGGGATGAAATTTGTATGATTGATAAGATTGTCACACACCAGAGTGACTGGTTGGAGATGCCTTGCTCTGGGGGGCAATTTGACCCCCAGAGATCTTGTAGCTAAGAGAGCTAGAGACACCAAATCTGCAGGGTGTGTTGGTCTGTGTGTAAATTCACTTACACCAAAGTGTGAGGTTCAAAGGTCATGATTTTTAGGTGAAGTAAGGTCAAGCAATGTCAAACTCCAAGTTGATCTCCTAAGTGCCCTCAGAGCCTAGATACCTTTTCTAAGCAATAGGGAACATGCTCATTTAAGGTCAGTGACCTTGTTTGACCTTCAGAAGGTCATGGTGGCCAAAATCATACAAGGCTGCTTTGAGTTTTACACTTGAATAAGTGACAAAGATTATACTAGGTCAGTCTTTGCAGGGAAACCATTCTGAAAAACCTCCTATGTGGGGGCTTAATTGACCCCCCCCCCCCTCCCAATCTGAGCATGCTAAGAGATTGGCTGTGACCATAAGGGTAGGTATTAGGAAGGGTGTGTATGAAGTTTGTGATAGTCCACTTTACCTTTTGTTCATGAAGTGCTCTTCAGTTTTCAGATAACATGTCAGGACACATCCAGTCTGATTCAACCAGCTTTACTTCTGGTATGCAAGGAATGGAAGCTAATGTTCCACATTCTTCAAGACGCCCAAATGCTCGAGAACAAAATGACAGCTTTAACGACTCCCAGTCTGGTGAGGTGGAAGCTGATGGTGATGATAACAAACAAACTGGGTGACAGCAGCAAAACCAGTTTTGGCTGTGATATTATTTCTTTGACAGAGCAGTACCTCAGGTGGCTGTGGTCCTCTGATGCCTGACACAGCACTGATAGGTTGGCATTCACTTTCACCATGCCATGTGAAACCTAAGGAACAGGTCAGGCCAGCACAAGCTAGCAGATTTCTGACATGTTTCTGGTATTAGTGATAGTTGGTGTATCTGGTGGCAGTTCAGAGTTATAGCCAGTGATGGTTCAATCACTTGGATGGTAGTCACCACCAGAATAGTATGATGGTAGTATTGTGCTAACATCCAACAGTTACGAAGCTGCTGACAGTTCAGTGCCACCTTTGTGTGCCACTGACACTCTGTGTGGCAGGCCGGGGCTCTGTCATAATCAGTGGCTCCAACAACATCCACGTGGGCAGCAACATCTCGCTGGGGGTGCAGAAGCAGACGCGCCGGGTCCGGCCGAGGACAGTGCCACCGGATGTGGCAGGTTAGTGACACCTTCCGGAGGACACAGGCAGTTGGACAGCTGGTGGTGTTAGCTCCTGATGTGGCTGTGGGTGGTGGGTACTGCAGTGGGGAAACCGGGTGTGTTTGCAGTGCACCAAGAATGTAATGTTCTGTTCTACGCGACGGCACGTAGAATGCTTACCAGACGTGTTTGCAGGATGACTCGTTTTCTGTTCACATCTTTGTAAGAGTCGTGACTATACCCGCGCCTTTAAAGATGCAACATTTTTGTTTGCGGGTACTATAAGCGCTCCTGAGAATGTAATTGGCAACTTATGCTCTTTGTAATGTATGACATACCCTTTCATCACACACTCCAGCGTTGTTCCGGTGCACAACGATGGTGACGGACCGTCAGCTGATGACGGCGTCCCGCTACACGGGTGCCGCCTGGCGGGATGTGGCGCGACGGCTCGGGTTCCTGGCCGGCGAGACGGACCAGTTCGAGTTCCGGGTGGACAGTCTTCGCGAGGTGCGGTCCTGTCCTGTCCCCTCCCACCCCCTCGGTCCTGGTCCCGGTGGCACGTGCCCTGTCGCGGCGGCTCCGGTTGTCAAGCCGGGCTGTTTCGCGACTCTGCCGGTGAGGAGGTTTTGTCATGCTTCGGGTGGGTTTTTGTGATATCCCGACCGTATTAATAATGGGCTGCCGCTATCTCCCGGGTGCGTCGTTTCTTAGTTCACGATGATGGGACAGTTTTGTTCATTATACCGGGTAAAGTCTGCACGTTTTAGCTTTTGGGATGAGGCCATGTCAGTGTGCTTCGTTGTGCAGTATGCTGTTGCTTAGGTTTCGCGAAAGGATCGAAATCGTAAGCCCGCGTTTCATTACCAGTCGCTGTGGCTGACTGATCCCGCGAGAGGATCGAAGCCGTAAGCCCGCATCCCATTACCAGTCGCTGTGGCTGACTGATCCGGTTGGCCTTCATGCTGTATTGTCCCGCAGGCTTGCTTCCGAATGTTCAGAGCGTGGCGAGAGAAGGAATCGTCCGGTGCCACCGTGGAGAAATTAGTGAAGGCCTTGTGGGACGAAGGAGCTTATGATGTTGTCCTCAAACTGCCGGAGGCGTCTAGCTCGAAGGAGGTGTATGCTGCGAAATGTCCGTAAATGGCTGTGAGTGGCAAACAAGATATTTCCAGTGCCAAATGAAGTCTAAGAATATTTTGTCAAGAACATAGATGGGTCTTGAGCCTTATGGGACTGCGTGTTGTGGCTGTTGTGGCCTTTCGGATGAGATTTGTTTTGGATGGTCGCTGTTGACGTGGAGGAATTTGAGCGATTGTGTGCAAGTATTCTCACGTCATTTCACATGCACCGTGCCTGTTTTACTGTGGGACCATGCCAAACATTGTACAAAAACCTGTGCGAACATGATGCAAACTCATCCATTTTACTAGCAGTGACTTTCCAGTGAAGTAGCCAGAATTTCGACCAGGAGGAGACCAAAACTGGTTGTAGGGGCATTTTCAGCCAAGGGAGACCCCCTACGTCGCTGTAGGGCTCTGATTTTTCCGGAGCCATTTTAGGACGGGATCCAGGCTCGTTCAAACGGCCGGAGGTCCGTTTGATTAAGTGTAAAAACCCTTGCGGGCGTCTTTAAACGTCGACAAGTACTGTCATTTTCGGCCTGGAGGGGTCCCACAGCTTCCAGGGGGGGGGGGGGGGGGGGCATAGCCCTAAAAGCCCTCCTGACTGACTTTCCGCGCTTTTGTGAGCTAACATGTGGTGCACTGTTTTCTCGTCGCCGTTGATCGGATGTGATGGAAATGGGCTCGAACCACAGTTCGCCAAGTCGCGAGAAACATTCCAAGTGATTTGCTGGCTTGTATGGACACGCATTGGAGCTGCTGCCATGGCCTGGGCGCGAAACCACGCCCATTCCATTCTTGACATCTATCAGTCTTCACGTGTGTCCTTGTTTTGCTCTGTGCCAGACGCAACAAAGGTGCTTACTGATGTCAAATTAGTGTGCTTGTGTGACGGAGGGGAAGTGGAGGTTGCAGTCGAGGGCGCGTCGGATACCGGGGCAGAAGACATCCGTCGAATGTCCGCCTCGTGGGCGTGATGCTGGCCGGCAGGTGCGGCTGCGACGTCAGTGGACACAACAGGGTGGAACGGCGGCAAACAATGGTCGCTTAGTATTGCTGTGGCAATACCCACGCCAGAAGTACTTTTGGACTAGTGTTTCTGTTTAATTTTTAGTGAGTGCCTGTTGTGTTCGTTCTGCGTGCTACTAAGTATATTTTATTTTATCCCCTTTATATGCATAGGATGGAAGTTCAGTCGCGGGCATCGGCGGTGCATGGTGCTCACTAATAAACGCTTCTGTATCGCTTCCAATATGAGTGTATCAGGCTGATTTTATTGTTTTCATGTGAACTCCGAGCAGTGCTGGCTGGTTTTCGCAGCAGTGCGCCAGTTTGGTGTAAATATGTTGCCCCGTCCAACTGTTTTACTTACAATATCATGCATTTTTGTCGACGGACCTTGTCTTTTAGAAGGACGTATTGCAGTCGCCTTTTTTCTTTGAGGTATTCCAAAACGTGGGTGGCGTGATACTTGCTGCGGTGCTCGCGAGATTCTGTCGTCCATAACTACCAGTGTACTGTCGTTGATTGGTAGCACGTCGCTGTTTGACGAGCAGTGTGGGCCATCCGGGGTCAGATGGGTGGCTTAAGATAGCGCTGTAGGGGGTTACGCCGTCTGTGTCAGACGACACGTCGGCAGGGGTATCGCGCCGTCTGTTAGGCGACACGTCGGCAGGTGGTGTCCGACGCGAACGCCAGTCGCAAGGAAGCATGGCCGTGTGGCGTCGGCATGACATGACGAGATGGCGTTAGCATGACATTACGATATGGCGTCGGCATGACATGACATGGCGTTAGCATGACATTACGATATGGCGTTAGCATGACATGGTAGCATGGCGTTGACATGATATGACAACATGACGTTGCCATGATATGGCAACATGATGTTGGCATGACATGGCAACATGACGTTGGTATGATATGACAACATGACGCTGGCATGTGAGAACATGAAGTTAGCGAGACATGGAAACATGACGTTGATTTCACGTGGCAACATGTCATGGCGACATGGTATTGGCATGACATAGCCGTGTGGCGTTGGCATGACATGACAACATGTTCGAAGTGACATGGCATTTCCTTACCGTGCCCTTTGCGCGGGACGCTGGGCGGACGATAACCCCGCGGCGAGCATGAACATTATTTTCATACCGGCGCGGTCCAGGGCATATCCGCCGTGTGATGACATATGCTGGAAATCATGTTCATTAAACCGGTGTTCAACATTTGATCGTCGTACATCACCCAGAACCGACTCCAGGAATGGCTTTGGGTGGCGCGTCACGCCGTATCTCGTGCGATCCGAGGCGCATGCGCCGTCCACGGTCGTCGAACTATGCCTGACCAATGTCTTACTGCATCGAGCTATAACTCTGCTGCCTGAAGGCCGGTCACGTTTTGGCCATATGCGTTGCACGTGAACTCCCAGGAGGGATCCGGGAGCAGTAAGGAGAGTGAGTTTGAGAATTAGCGTGAGATATGGTTGAGAATCGCCGTGAGTTGTGCCAAGAGTTATCTTATTAGTTTGACTATCGGAAGCCTTCCAAGAATAACGTGCGGGGTGTCATGGACGGGCTCCCGGTAGCCTGTATTCGGGGTATCTGCTGACCGGTCGCGGGCCGCGCATCCCACGCCGGCCAATGGCGGGGCGCCACGTCATGGCGGGGCGGTTCCTATTACCGCAGTCCACTACATCTCCGCGGCAGCATCAGCCGTGGACCGCATTACTAATAAACGCAACAAATCCAAAGCAGACACCAAACAAAGGGCTTCAGCAACGGCAACATTCATCACAACCCTACCAACAAATGAGTGGCAGCAAATCTATCCGGTCCGGGTACGGGACGCTGCCGCTGACTGCAACGGCCGGCGTTCTCGGTCCGTGATGGTTTCTCGACCCGCTGCCCACGTGCTGTACCATGTCGAGCATGGTCCGCGTCTCACTGTACCACCTGTCCGCCGTCGAACAGCACAGTCACTTTTACACCATCTACCTCCGATACAACACCTGGCAACCATGTCCGCCCTTCTGCTCCCTGCAGGCACCTACAGACGTTACCCAAGTGAAATATGACAACATCAGCGTCCACCGATTTGGCCATTGAACTGCGGTCTTGATGCCCCTTTTGAGACCGTTGTCGTTTGAACAGCATCCTGTTTCAAGTTTGGTCGCAGCCTATCAGTGTGCGCGTGACGGTCGCCCCGACAACAGTTCAGCCAGAGACACCTTCGTGGTTGAGTGTGGAATGCTCCTATGCTGGAACGGAACAAAACAAAACAAAAACGAACGACTTGTATTAGAATCAAGCCTGGCTGGATGTAAAAGCCTCGTCTGAAAGTCTGCACACACCTTTCAGCAAAGCCGTTCGACTTTGGAGCGTAGGCTACCGGAGTCACATAACGGATGTCATTTAAGGTACAAAGTTCCTCAAACGCCGGGCAAATGAAGAACGCAGCGTTATTCGGGCACAACACTCGTGGCAAACCCCAGTTCACAAAAGACTACCTGGGCTTGCCCAACCTGACTGGCGGAAGCTGTCGTGACGGGATCCATTCACTTTGAGTGCGCGTCCACAATGATCAGAAACAAGTGGCCGTCCATCAGACCGCATAAATCAACACGCACCCGGTCCCATAGACCTGCCGGCCACTCCAACGGGTACATGAAGACGTTTGGGACTTGCAGTGTTACCCCGCAGTGCGCACTTCATCACGCGCTCGACATTGCCCCACTTATTTTTTTCTACGTCGTTACCCAAGAACATGTAACCAGGAGTGCCCCTCCCTCAATCCCAGCGACGCAGTAAACCGTACGTTAACACCAGAAAACATAAAATCAGGTCGCGGCACTCCCAGCTAGGAAGATGAAACAAACGTAAAAAAAAACAGGCGAAGAGGTGGAGCAGACCCGAAGGAATTGTGTTATGTGATAGGATAATCTATCATAGTCATCTGATGATGATAGGTAGGGAAAAATCATAGATGAAAAGGCTTAAAGTAGTCATTAGCCAAAGTCAGCTAATGACAGCCCGCTACAACCGCCCAATAATCTACAACCACTTAATTCACCGTGTTAGTAAGGGCTATACAGTCAAAAGTCGGAGGCGCAATTACCTGGTCATTTTTGTGCTGGGTTTTGAGCTGGATGTCTAGGGAGTCCACCCAGCTAAGCAGAGCTTGTTGCTGGGAGGACTCCCGGAGCCAGCGCCGTGAATTTGGGTATATGTGCATGACTTTTATCAGAAATTGAGTATGAAACATGAAGGAGATCAAATATGAAGTGCGTCGGATATGCACAGCACAAGGATGGCAATGTCTTCAAATATGTTGGTTGCGTTAATATGTGTTCACGAAATGCTTGCGGATGATGTTCTTAATGATGGTTTTTGAAACAGTGATATCGGCTATTCTTGGAAAATATGAAACCATAACGTCGTTCCACAGCTTAGGGCCGAGGCAAGATGCTGTAAATAGTCTATAATTACGATAAGAGAAAGGTTGGTCTAAATGTTTTGCTCGCCTCATATCCATATCATTGGATTCGTAGAGATTGTTCATTAAATCGAATGATGCAGTTTGCTGTAAAGTGAAAAATTTGTGCATCACAAGTAACATTTGAGATTTAGCAATATCCGATAGCTTCAAAATTTTGTATCTTTTAAGGATTGGCTCTGAGCTTTGTGGAGGATACACATTTTCTATAAGACGCAGAGCCCTTTTTTGCAAAATTACCAACCGATCTAGTTGAGAAGCATAATTTATGCCCCAAACCAAGCAGCAGTAATTTAGATAAGGGAAGAATCAAAGTGTTATAGAGTAGATGTGACGTTGTTTTATCAATAAAGTACCTAACCCTATTTATTATTCCAATATTTCTACTTACTATGCTTGCAACAAAATTAGTGTGGCTTGTAAACTTAAGAGATATGTCAATGATAACACCAAGGTATTTAATTTCTTTTTTCTCTTCAAAAGGTGAATTATTAATTTGCATATTTAATCGGAAATGCGAAGAAAGGGTTGTGTAATGCTGTGTGAATGTTTTTGATACGTTCAGGGAGAGAAAATTAGCAGCAAACCAAGAAGTCATTAGAAGCAAAAGCGTATTGACATTGTTTTGAAGTACGACAATACTTTTATTTTTGAAAACAATCGCAGTATCATCAGCGTAGGACAGACAAATCATGTTACTGCTTAATTTAGGTAAGTCATTTATGTACATTAAAAAGAGGATTGGGCCGAGAATGGATCCTTGGGGTACCCCCATTGTTACGTTTTCGATTGTTGATAGATAATTCCTGATTTTTACACATTGAGTTCTGCCAGACAAATATGAAGAAATGACTTCATGAGATTTTCGTTGAATACCATATTAAGTAAGTTTACGTAGAAGAAGGTTAATGTTTACAGTGTCAAAGGCTTTTTTCAAATCTAAATACAAACCTAACGCATATTCCCCGTTTTCAAAGCCTTAGTGATAGTTTCCCGCAGAAGAAGAATTGGCATGTAAGTACCTTTGTTCTTCTGAAATCCGAACTGATCTTGGTGAATTAGCTGGTTTTGGTTTAGATGAAGGACGAGTCTATTATATATAAGTTTTTCGAGAATCTTGGACATAAACGGCAAAATACTGATAGTTCTGTAGTTATTTACAAGTTGCGAGTCCCCACTTTTAAAGATGGGTTCAATCACGGCTTTTTTGAAAATGCCTGGAAATATCCCCGAGGACAAACAGCTATTGAACAGATGGAGATTGCTTTGAGTATAACCTTGTAAGATAACTTGAATAAAATATAGTAAGCCGTAAATAAAGTGGGCTTAAGCCGCGCCGCTGCCTTGCAGCAGGTTATCCGCGAGCGGACTGAGGGAATAACCGGACCAAATGAGGACCAATGGACCAATGGACTCCATGAGGACCAAATTGCCGTAAGAAGGAAGACGCATCCTATGACTTTGACGACATTGTTATAAATTGCAATGAAGAAGGCTTGTTTTGGAGCATTGCTTGAGGTAAAAGGACGCACAAATCCGACATTTTTGTGTTTTGCCAAACAAGACACTTTTTTTGGACTTCGACCCCCAAGCCCGCATAACCCCTCCCCCACGCACCTCTCTTCAAGGAGCGCTTTGGACCGGTCTTTGTGTGACCGCAACGCTAATTATCAAATCTGACTGAAGCGTGCTGGACAGTCAACAAACAGGGTGGTGCGCAGCAGCGTTCGGGTAGTGGGATGTATTTCTCGTAAGCATACAGTTTCGCACGCGCGCTCGGATGGGACGTAAAGGTGTATGCCAGACCGAATCATAGTGCCCGGAAACGCACGCGAAAGCGTCCTGACGTGTCTGATACAGGATAACAACCGACCCCCATCGCACACGCGCATCTCTTCAATCATGTCTCACAATCACGACGGTGAAGGCATTCTAAATCAAGCATATGGAAAAGTGCGTGTTGGCATATTGAGTGATTGTGGTCAAAGGGGCCATTTCAGAAGTAGCAGAATATTCGGACCACGCAGTCAGCATACCCCAATGACCTGTGACAAATATCCAGTAGTTTGTGACTTGAAAGCGGCTGCTGTTAAGCGGCCGAAATTTAAACTTTGGAAAACGAAACTTTCGTCTTGCAAACGTTTGAAATTGTGAGCAAAAAAGCGTTGGTCGAACAGCACAAGCCGAGCATCACTGACGATCCCACGCGGTATCGAGCATGAAACAGCGACTAAAACTTTGTTTGACTGATGACAGCAACACACATGGACTACAAAAGCCGGCTGCCTGAGAACACTTCTACACGCCACGACATTCAAACCGGACATTTACTCTCTCCATTTGCGATCTATCATACGCGCTATAAAGTACAGACAGGGATACGACACGAAGGCATTTTCGAGAGGATGTTCAACTATTAACGTCCACCCACGGCGACTAAAAATACACGTCGGTGCCGTGACGCACCTGCAAAGATGACCACCCCAGTGAAGTACTAATGAGCGGGTACGATACCTCAAACAGCTAAATCCAAGCTTTGGTCGTCTAATTAAGTATATCTAAAAGCAGGCTAACTAGAAGCGAAAGACTGTCATCATGTGTATGCCATTGTGCAATCCGTGCACAAAAGCTCTGAGCTCAGGCCGGCCCAACCCGCCGACTCATGCAGCATTTGTCTTCAGACCGCGACTGTGACTCTTGTCTTCAGCTTCCAGGACCACTACGGGGCTCTTACCGTTGGCGCATGTGGCTCGACGCACCCACTGGGTGTCTGCACATACCCTACTTGGGGTCAGGAGACCAGAGGGCCGGCAGGGAGCTATAGACTAAGGGAAACACGCACGTGATGTCTGACTACCTACGAGAGCTGGGAGACCCAGGGCGGTAAACTGCTGCAGCCAAGGCCAAACCAAAGAAGGCATGACGGGGAAGGGAAGCCAAGTGCGTCGCAGGGATGGTGAAGCAGACTGCACCACCTACCTACCTACAAAAACGCGATGCGTTAATACTGACCGGTGGACCCATGGTAGAAAAGGTATAGATTGACGGGAAACTATGGTGGACTATGACATAAAATGCAGCAAAACATCATCCGGAAGCTGAGAAAGGGTGTCGGCCATAAGTGAGCCGTTCGCGGGTGGATGAGTACGCGCTGGTATGCAATCCAGTAATTTTCACTGGAAATTCGAAGTGGCTGGGCTAGTGCTGCGAATAAGGGGAGGGTGTGTCCATGGCCACGCATAAGAACAGGTCAGTTTTTCAAATTAAAGCATCACATCTGTCACAATCTTCGGTTGAGGTCACAGAAGCTGTCGAGACTGGTACACCCCGTGTCTGTCCGCGAATAATTCCCACCAGCTACAAACCATCACGGCCAGATGAAAACTGAGGACAGCGCTCCCAAGCCTCCATTGTTTGTGTGCACCAGCATGTGACTGTCATTGAATGTCGCCATCACGGAGCTTCGAGCACACCTGCGAGGTCACCCAGCAGTGGAGACTCTCCAGCCTTGGAGCTGTCGTGGCTTCCATTTTCTTCGTAGAAGCTGGCTGGTGGTGGGCGGCCACCAGACGTCAAGGTACCTGCGCGAGTGCCAGCTATACCAGCCGTACTGCAACTCCAGCGCTATCCGTCGATGGCGTTGACCACAGCGAAACGCCACAGTTCGAAACCCCACAGCTGGCTCGCACATTACACTCCCATTAGCTTCTTCACGGAGTAGCCAGGTACGCTGTAAAAGAACAGGAGCAGCAGGATGGCCAGCGCCAGCACCAGCAGCAGCTTCACGATGGTCCACTTGTAGTTGTGCCAGACGATGTAGCGAATCGACTTGATGGGGTTCATGAACCACATGAATGACGAATCAGGCCGGCTGAAGAAAACACAGACATGGAAATATGATAGTTGTGGTGGAAGTCAAGAACTACCCACAAGACCAGCAGAAATTACACCACCTTGCAATCATTCGTGAAAACAAGGAGAAGGAACAAGGCATTGCTTTATGTGTCACCTTCAGGCAACGAACAGATTCGAGCTTCTCATGAAACACAGGCTTCAGTTTTAAAGAGCTTTAGTGTACGGTTTTCCGGAAGTATTTGCCAGTACACACACGCTCTCACCACTGTGAGGCTTCGCCGACATGTCTCTCATTAGGCCTAATGGCATTTCACCTTCCACCTCATCCCAGGGTTAAGTGGCAAGAAGAACGTGGTATACACCCAAGTTCACTCGCACTGCTTATCTAAGGGACCTAAACTTACGCATCCAGAGTGTCTCAACGGCCTGTTGAGACATCAATCGCGCATGTGGTCATGCGCGATTCAACCACTGCTTGAACAACAAAACCACCGCTTCAACGGCGTCTACAACAACGTGTTCCCCGATTTAACTGCACGCTACAGCCCACCACCGTGTGCGACGTGTCCACACTATACTTGGGCTTGTCGAGGGGGTCGGGCTCGTTCCTGCCCATGCCGACCGGGGACCGCTCGGCCTCGTCGGAGGTCAGCAGGTGAATCTCCGCCTCCACCTTGCCCTGGGGGGGAGGGGAGAGAGGATGCACTGCGGACGTGACAGCAGCACACACTCTCCGGCGTTCACAAACCTGACGACACTGTCAAAACTGTAAGCCACATAGCACACACACACAAACACACAACACACACACACACACACACACACCACACACACACACACACACAACAAAACACACACAACACACACACACACACCACACGCACCACAGCATCGCACGCACGCACGCCACGCACGCACGCACGCACGCACGCACGCACGCACGCAAGCCGCCACGCACGCCACGCACGCACGCACGCCACGCACGCACGCACGACGCACGCACGCACGCACGAACACCACCACACACACACACACACACACACAAACAACCCACCCACCACACACACACACACACACACACAATATATATATATATATATATTATATATTAATCTATATATATATTATATATATATATATATAATCTATATATATATATATATAAAGGGTGTCCGAGCTCCACGATAAGATAGCAATGAGTGTCATGGCTTTACGCGAGAAGCAATCCCCTTGCCATAGATTAAAAATTTGGAGGAAGTCGACATTTATTTTTTTCAAGGCGTTTCATTTCATGCACCGCCATAAGCCTAATTCAAAATCTCATTTCAAAATTTAAATCAATTCAAAATTGTGAGGGTACCTGAGTTCTCTCCGTGGCGAAAGCCATGACGGCAGGAAATGTAACGAAACACCTTTTGCCTGTACCGACATACGGATACGCATGAGTGACATCAGACAGAAGGCACCTATCCTAGAAAGCAATGGACGGAGACGGCGCTACGAAACTCAACACATCTCTGCCCTGCCGAGCCACGAACCGTCAGCGTCATCTCCTCGTTGTTGTTCTTCACGTAGAACGGCCACCAGCCTTTGACGCGCTTCTGCTTGAAGATGGACACCATGGGCACGGAGCCGTCGTTCTTGAGCAGCGAGAGTGTGCAGTGTTTGGAGGACTTGGCGCCGCGCGGAAAGCGGTTCAGGTCGAGCGTGATCTGGCCGAGGAAGTCGTCCGCAGAGAAGTGATCGGCATCCCACACCTGCCGTGAAGGGCAGCTCGAGCTTCAGGTTCGCTAGCTGCTGCATGAACACGTGCCAACGCAATTTGTTTTATGTTGGGCCGATAAGTGTCTCAGAGCTATTTACATTGGTGGATTTAAGTTCAGAGCTCACGCCGAAATACGACGACCGCTTGACACTGACATTGACACTGACACTGACACTAACACACACAGTGACACTCATCCATCGTCATTGTCACACAGCGGATAATTTTGCTTCGGACTTGCATCAGCAGAAATGGCTGTTGTCATTACCCAGCATGGCGGACGATACAAAACATTGATAGGGTCGTCACGCAAGGACTTCCATGACATCATCATGAACATAGCCAGGCTACCGTAGCTGCCATCAAGGTCCTTGCCAAGATCGGCATGACTGCCTCCTCCGAGGCCATCACGGGCATCGTCAAGGAACCGCAGCGAGGCCGTCGGCACGGTACTGAAGAATGGAGGTCATTTTCCAGAGTGCTCACCTGCAGCTCGAGCCGGGCGGGGATCTTGCACTCCGACTCGTCCCAGGAGAAGAGCGACTCCTTCCTGGAGATGACGATCTTCTCCTCAGCCACCAGGTAGTCGAAGGGGAAGATGAAGCGCCAGTTGAAGTTGCCCTCACCCGTCAGCGACCGGTAGTGGATGTCGGTGCACTGGCAGTCTTCGGGGCCCTTCACCCACCTGGGGGGGGGGGGGGGGGGGGGGGGCAGAGCAGGTAAGTCAAGTGTGATCTCACGTCTTCTGATAGTGCGTTGGACGCAGATTCGAGAGCTCGAGTCCGAATCACAAGCGCAGAACACCCTTTGTTTCGTTATAACGCAGATGACTGCTAGTGCTCACCGCGAAAAAAATCAAAGGCCACAGATATAGTTCGGGATTTCTTAATATTTCATGCAATTAGCGAGGCATAACACGCACGTCTGACAGCTGGCCATACCAGAGATTCTGCTGGAGATGCTGGGGGAGGGGGTCCAGGCCAGGTTCCTACCATATAGGGCCTCTATATATGAGCAAGACCAATGAGTTTTCTTCCGATGACCGAAGCCATCTTTGTTAATACCGGCTTTGCAATGCCGGCTTCGTTATACGTGGCTAGCAAATTTCTTTCCTGAAAGATGCCCCTACAGTCTCGCACGCCACCATCAAAATTTAAGCGTGTGTTTTCGTTGATTTCCGTCGTTACGTCACACATTTTGTTTTAGGTTCCCAATCACTGCCTAAATTCTTAGCAATAATTGCGGCATATTGTAAAGATTCGACAGGTTGCACACCTGCAGAGAACGTTTATAAATAAAATTTTAAGTGTTCAAATGTATCTAATACGAAAAACGATCGCCATGTGATTAGAAGAGTTAATCGAAAAGACCGGCTTCTGAAACGCTTCCGTGGCCAACGAAAACCAGGTCCCACATAACGGGACACAAACGAACGAAACCGCCACCGTTCGCGTGCGGCGGTACCATCCAGCTTCCCGCTCCATCCTCCAGATGGCAGTACGGCGCGTCGGCGTTCTGCTCTGCTGGCCAACGCTGGTCGGCCGTACCCGAAGCCACTGAAGCCCCATGACGCGCTTCCGTACGTTCCGCCGTGCGCTGGGGGCCATCACGATCACCACCGCGTGCACGGCACTCGCCACGCTGCTGATCTCGACCGCCGCGCTGCGCGACCACTACAGCGGCGAGGCCAGGCTGACGCCGGCCGGCCTGCAGAACATGTGGGTGCTGGCGCCCCTCTCGGGCATCACCTGCCTTATCAACCTAGTGGGAACTACCGGCGCCTGCTTCCACGTCCGGCTGATGCTGCTGGTGTACGCCGGCGCCGGCCTCCTCTCTCTGCTCTTGCACTTCTCAGCGCAGGCGCTGGGTCTCATGCATCTGCTGGACTTCACCGCAGACAAGGTGAACGGCAGCAGCATGTACAGGACGAGCCCGTTGATCTACCAGAATACCCTGCATGACCTGCGCCTGCTGGTGGCCGAGGCCCAGCCTGGGTCGGAAGAGCAGGACGAGGTTCTGAGAGAGCTTGTGAGGAAGCACGCTAACGAGACGGACTCGCTCGGGAATGCGACGCGTCCGCCCGCACGTCCCACAGCCGCGTCGTCGGAGAGACACATGACCGGTGCGGAGCATCCCAGTCCGAACCAGGCCGGTGCGCTCGCTCTCCAAGGCAAACACGTCCACGACATTCCTCTGAACAGCGAGACGGGCATTCAGTCCGCCAGAGGACGCAACATCACGGACGCTGGCGTCGCCGGCGAAGGAGGTGCCCTAAACTCTTCCGATCAGAGTCTCCGCGGCAACGGCACTCCCCCGTCCGAAACTGTGCTGCGTTCCCTAGCGCTAGCCTCGCTGAACCCTGACGACGAGCTGGCGCAACGGCCCCAGGGACGTCTCCTGATCCGGCACATGGAGCTCGCCGTCCGGCGCAAGCTGCTGGGGATTGGCAGTTTACAGCGGCGCTTCCAGTGCTGCGGCACCACCAGCTACCGCGACTACCCGCGCCGCAACCTGACCGTGCCTGTCTGGTGCTGCCGGCGCGCGTCGTGCGACCGCCAGCAGCTACTCAACATCACGCTCCACACCAAGCCGGCTGAGGCGGCCCGCCTCATCTTCCCCGACGGCTGCGGCGCCATCCTCCACAAGGTCAGCCGCTACGTCAACGGCGCGATGGCTGTGCTCCAGCTGGTCGTGGTGGCGGCGCAGGTAGTGGGGTGCGTGCTGGCGCTGGGACTCGCCACCTGGTGCCGGCCGAAGTCCGACACGGCGCCGAGGGCCGCCTGGGAGAGCGGAGCGAGGCCGTTCCAGGCGGAGCCGGTGGCCGCCAAGCGCACAGAGAGCATGGAGGACCTGGTAAGGCGATGAGGCAAAGAGGCTCGCAGCGAAAGCTGAGAGAGATGCGTCGAAGACCTGGCGAGGCGGTGAGAGGGCCAGTGGCAGAGGAGGCATGTAGTGAAGGCGAAAGTGAATGTGAAAGAAGAGAGAAAGCGAGAGAGAAAGAAGGGGAGAGGACGAGAGGGGGCGAGGAGAGAGAGAGAGAAGGAGAGGAGAGAGAGAGAGAGGAGAGAGAAGGAGAGAGAGAGAGAGAGAGAGAGAGAGAGAGAGAGAGAGAGAAGAGAGAGGAGAGAAGAGGAGGAGAGAGAGAGGAGTGAGAGAGAGAGGATGGAGAGTGAGAACGGATGAGGGCGCGAGAGAGAGAGAGAGGAGAGAGATGAGAGGAGTAGAGAGAGGACGGATGAGAGAGAGAGAAGAAGAGGGCATCGAACGAAGACCTGGCGAGGCGGCGAAAGTGCCGACAGCAGGACGGGCCCGCAGTGAAGGCTGAGCAAGAGGCGTCAAGAACCTGGCGAGACGGCGAAAGTGCCGACGGCAGGACAGGTCCACAGTGAAGGCTGAGCAAGAGGCGTCAAGAACCTGGCGAGACGGCGAGAGTACTGACAGCAGGACAGGCCGGCAGTGAAGGCTGAGCAAGAGGCGTCAAGAACCTAGCTGGACGGCGAGAGTACCGACAGCAGGACAGGCCCGCAGTGAAGGCTGAGCAAGAGGCGTCAAGAACCTGGCGAGACGGCGAGAGTACCGACGGCAGGACAGGCCGGCAGTGAAGGCTGAGCAAGGGGCGTCAAGAACCTGGCGAGACGGCGAGAGTACCGACAGCAGGACAGGCTCGCAGTGAAGACTGGACAAGAGGCGTCAAGAACCTGGCGAGACGGCGAGAGTACCGACAGCAGGACAGGCCGGCAGTGAAGGCTGAGCAAGAGGCGTCAAGAACCTGGCGAGACGGCGAGAGTACCGACAGCAGGACAGGCCCGCAGTGAAGGCTGAGCAGGAGGCATCAAGAACCTGGCGAGACGGCGAGAGTACCGACAGCAGGACAGGCCGGCAGTGAAGGCTGAGCAAGAGGCGTCAAGAACCTGGCGAGACGGCCAGAGTACCGACAGCAGGACAGGCCGGCAGTGAAGGCTGAGCAAGAGGCGTCAGGAACCTGGCGAGACGGCGAGAGTACCGACAGCAGGACAGGCCGGCAGTGAAGGCTGAGCAAGAGGCGTCAAGAACCTGGCGGGACGGCTAAAGTACCGACAGCAGGACAGGCCCGCAGTGAACGATGACCTGGCGAGACGGTGACAGCACCGACAACAAAGGCAATTTGCAGTAGAAACGGGGGAAGGGAGGGAGGCGGGAAGGACATGCTTAGGGTGAGAGGAGATGAATGATGGAGGCGCGACACAGAAAGGTTGGAGGAGGGGTGACGCGGAGAGGGTATGGCCTGGGGAGATACTGTCGACACGAACGCATCTTTGGGAACTGCGTCAGGAGAAATCTCAGGAATATGACCAATATTAGCAACAAAAGAAAAAGTTAAGGCAGAATCGTGCGAAATGTCAATTAAAAATAACTGCCACCGTCTGCTCTCAAGTGATCCGGTGATGTGGTCTCCTGCCGTAGCCTTAAGCTTGGTGAAGGCAACACCAGACATTTCAATTGGTGTTTTATCGAGTTGCCCGTTGCAGTTCAATTAAGTGCATATCTCCGACGGGCGAACGCACAGATGCATTGTTATTTGGGGTGTGATAGGCTAACGTGAGTTGCGCTTTCCTCTGATAGTTTTCACTCCCATAATGATGAACGCTTTGGTCCGTATCTGACGCGTTTAAAACGTGGACGGTACAGAAAGATGAGATGAGATGAGAAAGAGAGATGAGAAAGCGCAGACCCCAATTACATCGTTTGGCGCATCAGTTACTTTGGAAAGTTTGCTAGTGTGTTTATACACAAAGCAGAGAACGAGGGTTTTACGTAACAGTGGCATATGGACCAACACTTGTGATAGCATTGGCTAAACATTTGAATTCGCCTTGTTTTCGACCAATCAATAGATATTAGGCTTACTTCCAGTCCCACAGTCCATTTTTGATACACTAGCTCATCAATATTGCCTGATTAGATGGCAATAAGTAAAACGGAAACGAGTGAACGACGATGAGAGCGCTTGATCAACATGTCATAGCTTGGACAGCCCCTAATGGCGACCACAGCAGCTGTGGCGAACTTACGAAGGTACAACTAGGGACTGGAACTGCTAATTAGGAGATACCAAAAGCACCCTATGAGCAAAACTCAACTCACACATCAATGTACTCTCTGGAATAAAAGCCCATTGCTGACCCTTTGACATAAATGTCCGACATCTTCTCGCCGGTGAAAAAGGCGTCATCCTCCAGCACCACGTCGTCGGTGTTCCAGATGATGACACGCAGTTCGTAGGACTTAGGCTTGCGCGGCGCGATGTCCACCGGCGGCGGCGGCAGTGGCATGTCCATGGGGAACATGTCCACCCACATCTCCAGCTTTCCCTAAGGAAGACATCAGCTGTCATTCGCCGAGGACGAAAAGCCAACGCAACTCTTGAAACCATGGTGCCTGCTTGTCAACCAGTAAAAAAACGGGAAGCACGAAGCACGGAAATCACCCGACCCACGACATCCGCCACACCCATCCTGTTTTGTCACGGACAATCACGAACACGACCGCACACATATCACGAAATCTTGCAGGCAAACCCATTACTCCATGGAAGTGAGCCATGCTACACCAATCGCCTCAAGGAGACCGGCTCCGCACGGCGTCGCTGTACCACTCCTCATTCGGCATTCGCCCCGCCCAGCCGCCCGCGGAACGCCCCATTCGGCATTCGCCCCGCCCAGCCACCCGGGGAACGCCCCCATTCGGCATTCGCCCCGCCCAGCCGCCCGGGGAACGCCCCATTCGGCATTCCCCCCGCCCAGCTGCCCGGGTACCGCCCCTCATTCGGCATTCCCCCCGCCCAGCCGCCCGGGGTCGCACCTGCTCGATGCCCGGCTTCTCGGGGTTGTAGAGGGGCCGGGTCTCGATGTGGGCCGGCACCAGGTTGCAGCCGATACGGGGCACCTCCGACCACTGATGGAGCGCGGCCAGCGCCAGCTCCTCCTCCGTCGGCTCCTCCGCTGCCGGAGACGGGGAGCGTCAGCGAGCACCAGCGCCGCTGCTGACGGCATTGCGCTCACGTGCACCGCCTGATATATACACGACCGCAAAACAACCACAGGCTCAATTCATAATGAGATCAAATGTACGTTAACATGCTGGAGTGCAGTTGCTGTGCTTGTCACATGACTAATGTGTTGAGGACGCCATACGACATTTGCAGTAGATGCACTCGTTCCGTTCTTAGGGTCATGTTGCGTTGCGTCGTTCCTGGGCCGGCAGCGTTGCAAGTTGGCATTATCACACAATGTCCATGCACACGGGGTAATGTACAGCCGCAAGTTTCGTGTGGGTATCACATGTTGCAATATGCGTGTTTAAGCCCAGCGGTTTTGCACGCGCGGCGTTAGCAGTTGACCTGATGAAGCAGTCCGCCAGCTGTTCTGAACGTGACCACACATCTGGATTGGAGTCCGGGTCACGGATCATATCACGGATTAGAGTCGGGGTCTCCGAGTGACACGAAATTTGATTGTGATGTCTGGAGCTACACGAAAATGACAAGCATTGGTGGGGCAAATAAACGAGGGATCGTCTTGTGTAAGGCTTATCTATGTACATGTGTATGCATGTATGTACAGTCCCTCGTGCATGGACGTTCCATATAGACCTGCCCGTTTCAATTTTTCACGTTTACGGCATAACTCTGTAATCAGACCAGATAAAGACGAGAATACGGCTTTATAAGGTCGAACGGTGTACCGTACGTCATTCGTTTGGCTAACATAACTGTGAGCAACGCACGGTTGCATCAGAAATCGTAGCTAAAGCCGGCAGTGCTGCCATTTCGAAATACTTCCCCGAATGCAACATTGTGTCGTCAAAACCGGACATGTCAAGGCGAAACTCATATGACAACATGATTCGATTTCCTGCCCTTATTTTCATCCTTTTGTTTCACACAGCGTGCCCCAACGTCGTTAATAAATTAGTTTTGGCTTATGGGTTACAGTAACACATTTACGCGACGTCGAATGCTGGCGATCATTCGCCCAGTCGCCACCGCCCATTATAGTGAGCAAATGGACAGGTCGCCGCCTGTGCTCTTTGTAAGCCGGTGGCCGGTAACAGCCTTTTCAGCCTTCGTTCATGCCTTCTTTGCAGGGGCACAGCTCGCCACAATGCTGCGGAGACGCGAATGGCACAGGGGAAGGACTGACAAAACTGCTGGGGTACTACAGTCAGCTGCTGGGGAACGCAGCACGGACGGCATTTTTACTGGGTGTGTTTTAAAATTGCTTAGTGCGTCAGTCCAGCAGCATTGCGGTTATGTTGATAGTCACAGTGGTAGACTTGGACAATTATTGCTCCAACGAGGGGGCTAGAACGGTCCTTTTGAGCCTTCTTAAAGGACGCTAATAGCAATGACAAAGTTTGACTTTTTGCATGCGTCCGTTTATCTTAGGTCTTAATTGGCACTATATCATCAGGTTATTGTCATTTTAACCCGAGAGCACGATGCACTCAAAAGTATGTGTAAGAGCCTGCCTTCATATCACAAGAAACCAGGGGGAGCGCAGAATGGTCGGCCATCACGTTTTTCGCATTTGTGTCCTAGCTGCAAGCGATTTACCCTGTCCTGTCACGTGAAAAAACGGCCTTCGCCCACATCCTCTCATCGGCGCTCAAGTAATCCGTGCCATGGCACATCGCCACCACGTCCGCTCGGTTCTGACTGGGCATATTAGCACACAAATGACAGATCAGCCACTGAAAATTGTCAAAATAGTGATGAAGAATCTACCAATAGTGCGAGCGGAAAACGCCTACTGCACAACACGAGACTGTGAGGCACGGTCGCGCCAGTTATCTCGTGCAGGCCGAGAATGTCGGCATTTGGAAAAACGGTGGCAAATGCAACACGCTGTCGTCGGAACTGTAGGCCAGGGTCGTGGCGAAATTTATATCACCGCATGCACCGATACGTTATCTGCGTTAGCCACTCATTTATTCATCGTTGTGTGCACTTTCCCGTTCGAACAACAACCTTTCGTAAAGTGGTATCACTTTTTTCTGGCAGCGTCTAAATGCTACCGCTCGATCGCCCAGTTGATGCCGCCTAGTGACTTTCTGACCGTGTATCTAGGTTTGAGACTGTATCCAAGGTAGACGGATTATGCAAGACATAAAGCGCAGTTGGGTTAATCGCAATAGGGGAGATAAATAGTTGGGTTGTCTTGGCATTCTTTAATGTTTTGTTCCAGGCAAATTGTACAGAAAAGACCTGCGTGCCCGTCTCCAGGTTTCCAGGACCCGTCTCCATGTTTCCTACTGAGTGATGAAGCAAGAGCTGGACTGATTTTAAAGAGCTGCTCTCCTGCTTCGGCAGTAACAGACGGCATGCTTCAAAATTCCGGCAGCAATCACCCAGCAAAGCGGGCAGGCGGCCCCTCTATTTGGAAAGGATGCGTTTGTCCATTTGTCGTCGTTAACGTTTTGATGTGTGTGCAGGTCTAACAGCAGGTGGCTTAAGAGCAAAATTTCGACACGGTGCACGTGCGCACTAGGCGACGTGTCATGGCGAGGCTCGTGCCAGCGCGGGAGACGGCAGCTCGTGGCGCGCGTGTTGCGAAGTGCCATTCTGCACAGGCGGCCCGCAAACACGACCAGTGCTTAGGCCAGACAGTGGCCGCTCGAAACTGTGGCCACATCTCGGTAACGAATGGCAGCAGCGACACGAAATTGCAACGCTTGGATGGAGAATTGAGCGGCAAATCGCGTGACGTCACGTGGATTACTGCCACGTGTCACGTGACACGCGCTAGTGAGCAGTCCAGAGAGATTTGCCCGGTTTTGACTCTTTTCGTGTTATGCAACAATTCCGCAACCGGGTCACTGGAGGTGTGAATCCAACTTCAAAGTCGGCCGAACGTACCATTTGTTATGCGTGTGGCCAATGTGAGTTTGTGCAACGCACGATGGCGCCTGCAATCCCCGTGCCCCTCCCCCCCCCCCCCCCCCCCGCCAGTAAACCTACCTTTGTGCTCCGGGTGGGTGCCGTCTGGTGCCGGCACTGCCAATGTCTGGCTCCCGATGCGCACGTAGCCACGCTGGTAGTGCGGCCCGTCCAGCTTGCTCTCCTTGCAGAGGCGGTGCAGGATCTGGGTGGGCCGCATGGGGTCCCGCCAGGCGTTGTAGCCCGTCCTGGAGAGGACACGTCGGTCGTGACGGAGACCGAGCGGTTAGAAGAGGGAGCTGCGACGCGGGCATCGGCCTACCGGGCTCGGTAAAACTGCGGCTTCTTCACATTCCGGCCGGGCACCACGGTACTAACGACAACAGCGCCCCCTCCACATCAGGCAACTCCGCAGAATAGTGAGGAAGGATGCGATGGAAACGAAAAGCCGCAGAGATGTCAGACCTGACAAAGTCGGACCTTCACCGTCAAGACAAGTGTCGCGGCATAGCAATGGGTCCACTAGCGGCGAAGGCCAGCTAGTCGGCTATGCCAACTCGGATACGAGTCGAAGCGCCGTCTGAGGCCGTTCTGTCAGCATATGGCCGATGCGCGGGGTCACCCACGTTTCGAACTTGGTGTCGAGGCCGCAGGTGGCGCGGTGGCGCGAGTAGAAGCGGTTCTCCAGGTCGATACGCGTCTCGCCGATCAGCTCGTCGGTGCCGACCAGGTCCCAGTCGAGCACCTGCAGCACCAGCATCGAGTCCTGCGGGAACGTCGCCTCCACCTCCAGACACCTGCGGCGGGAGAAGGACACTGCGAGACCGCACGCGGACGAGTACAGCGCTGCGATCAGACCCTGAAACACTGCTCCAGGCATCTGGAACGGGAGATGGACACAGTGACGCAGCATCATCTGGAGCGCTGCGATCAGACCCTGAAACACATCTCTGTACGTTAGAAGCAGGCAATCGGCACAACAGCAGGACCTCGAGGCCCTGTTGGAGCCTGTGGCTGAAGTCGCAGGGTGTCGAGGCACCTTTCCCCAAGGCAGTGATGACTAGGTCTCGTGTCGAGGCACCTTTCCCCAAGGCAGTGATGACTAGGTCTCGTGTCGAGGCGCCTTTCCCCAAGGCAGTGATGACTAGGTCTCGTGTCGAGGCACCTTTCCCCAAGGCAGTGATGACTAGGTCTCGTGTCGAGGCGCCTCTCCCGAAGGCTATGGATGGCCAGGTCTCGTGCCGCCTCAAACACACTCTCACATCAGCTGAGTCAAGAGGAGACGGAATGCGACTTGACTTGCGGCTGAGCAAACGAAAATATCGCGTGAATATAACTTACGTGCTTGCAAAAGAGTTTTACGTTTTGGATTACCACATAATTGCATTGCCCGGCTGCAAAGTAATTTTCGGGATTGTCTTATGATGCGTGGCGGCGAGACGGCTGGCTAATGATGTCATAAGCGAGATGGAGAACCTCTCCAAACTAAGTCTACGCTCATCTATTACACCCACAATTCCATCCAGCAGCAGCATCGAAACTGGCTTATCTCAAGCTACCAACTTGCGGGCCGGCCGCCATAACTCTCCCCGCCTGTGCCACACAGACATACACACGCACACGCACACGCACACGCACAAACGCACACACACACGCACAAACGCACACACACACACACACACACACACACACACACACACACACACACACACACACACACACACACACACACACACACACACACACACACACACACACACACACACACACACACACACACACACACACACACACCACGCCCCTCCCCCGTACAAACGCCTTCCAACGCCAGCACCATCACCTACTTGCCGAACACGGGGTTGAGCTGCTTGGACTGGTAGTTCTCCTTGTCGCTGACCTTCTTGCTGCCCAGTTGCATGACGATATAGGGATCAGCCTTGCCGTTCAGGTCCATGGGGTGTAGATCGAGCGCGCGCACCACGTACACGCGCACCAGCACGTGGATCGGCTCGTTGGACGGCAGGCCACTGAAGTAGCCCTTGTACGGGTCGCCCGAGCGCTCCACCATCGACTCACAGTCCCGCGCCGGTGGCCACCGGTACATCTTGAGCGAGCCCTGGCGGCGCGCGCAGGACGCTGGACACCACAGCGGGACGCACACGGCGCGCAGTACTGCCATCTAGAGGTCACGTATGGGGAGCATCACTCCCGGGAAAGACTAGCGCAAGAAGGAAGGACTGCTGAGTCTGGTGTATCAGCTAACAGCCGCTGATCGCAGGGAATGCTGGACGTAAGTGTTCCATTACGATGCGTGACGTCACGGTGAATACGTCGATTACGGAAGAGCCCAAAGGACCTCGGTTACATGTGTTTTAGCACCACACAATTACGAGCAAATTCTCTATCAGCAGTCGTCGTCAAAATGTTCACATTGGACCTGAAAGACTGCCGGCGCCATGTGCAAGCAAGAAGCCAAGACTTTGGCGTCGATTCAGCCGCCCAGACATCCAGCTGCGGAGCGGACCTTGAACTTGCCGACGATCCTGGACTCGTCGTCGCTGAAGTCGTCCGCCTTCTTGCCACGGTAGAGGTCGAAAGTTAGCAGCCACTCGCGGAAGCTACCGAACTCTGGGACCTGTTCCAGCTCGCACTGGTAGATCTGGCGACAGAGGGGGTCTCAACGTCATACAGGGCATCCGCTGTCCCACTCGACCCGGTCAGTTCCGGCGACACCTCCGATCCACAGGACAAGTTCAGCACCAGCCCATACGCATATCTTCAAAATCAGAATAATGACTATGTGCTGAACACCAAACTGTCCTTTCATTAGTGTCCAGTAAAGCTTCAGATGAGACGTCCAAACGGTTCGCGTGTCATGCGTGCAAGCCAGCCACAAACTACACAGCATCACCACTGTACGTGTATGCGTTTCATAATGACGTAACTGAGACGGTGAATGTCATTTTGGCGTGTTCAGCGCACCGTTGTCACTGAACACGAGATCGAGAATGAAATCGGCTGCACCCTGCCATACCTGCAGCAGGGCGGTAGACTTCTTGTTTTTCCGCCGGAACTTGGGGCTGATGCGGGCGGCTAGCCTCACCGCTTGGCTAGCGCCCTTGAAGCCCACCCGGCGCGGCTTGGCGGCCGGTGCCTGACTGGCCGCCTCCGTGACTGGCTCCGCCCCCAGCAACCGAGCCCGGCACAGACGTTCACTCTGCAGGGCCAGGTTACAGGTAAGGCTGGCTGGCGACCCGGGTCAGGGTCACAGCCAGGGTGGCGCCGGGGTCTAGCCATTGTCGCCGTCAGATCAAGGACAAGGTCAGGTCACGGCCTGGATCAAATGCACGCTGATGAGCATGAGGTGACGATGACGAACGTGAGGTGACGACGTTGAACGTGAGGTGACGCTGATGAGCGTGATGTGATGCTAATGAGCGCGAGGTGACTGAAGTGACGCTGATGAGTGTGATTTGACGCTGATGAGCGTGAGGTGACGATGATGCGCGTGAGGTGAGGCTGACGAGCGTGATGTGACGATGATGAGTCTGATGTGACAATGATGATCGCGAGGTGACTGAAGTGACGCTGATGAGCGTGAGATGACGATGATGCCCGTGAGGTGACTGAAGTGACGCTGATGAGCGTGATTTGACGCTGGTGGGCATAAGGTGACGATGATGAGCACGAGGTGACTGAAGTGACGCTGATGAGCGTGATTTGACGCTGATGAGCGTGAGGCGACGATGATGCGCGGGCTGTAGAAGGAAGAATGCCTGTCGGTGGCATTCCATATAGCAATAGAACGAATGAATAGTTCTGATTCTGCGGTATCCGATCCAGTTTATCAATCATTTACTTCTAATCATTTACTTTTGGGCATACATTCTGACTCAGTCGGAAATCAAAGCTGCGTTTGTGATAACATACGTAAAAGGCACCGATCAATGAGAGCTGAAAGATGCGTCTGGTCCTTATCTAGGACGAGAATGGAGGTCATGCGGTTTCCCCACACCAAGGTGTGTTAACATTTCCCAAAGTGTCAAAGAAAATGTGCCAACAGCAGTCGCCAGATATTGTTCCATCAATATAAGCACCACATCTCAGTGCCTTCTCTCTCCCTCCATCATACGTCCAGCCTAGTACAGCACTACCTCCATGAGCAGCTCCTTGGAGGCGAAGTACTTGGTCCACCAGTCCCTGGCACCCTCGCCTTCCTCCTCGTCGCTCGACTGGGACCCGCGGCGCCGGTGCTTGGGCTTCTCCCGTCGCTTCCGCTTGACGGGCGCTGCCAGCACCCGGTGGCCGGCTCCGCCGTTCCGGCAGCCCTGCGGCCGAGGGCGGGGTCACTCACGTCGCCGCCTGAAGCGGCGCCCGGGCAATGACCCCTCTATTCAAGATGCGTTTATTTCTGCGCACACATCACGTAACGTGCAGTGCCAGTGAGGAAACAAAGCACGCGGCGAACAAGATCTCTCGTGGCTGGTGGCTGTGGCTGCGGACGTTACGGCACAGCTCGCGAACACGGCTTTTCGTGGCTGGTAGCTGTGGCTGGGGACATTACGGCACAGCTCGCGAACACGGCTTTTCGTGGCTGGTAGCTGTGGCTGGGGACGTTACGGCACAGCTCGCGAACACGGCTTTTCGTGGCTGGTAGCTGTGGCTGGGGACGTTACGGCACAGCTCGGGAACACGGCTTTTTGTGGCTGGTAGCTGTGGCTGGGGACGTTACGGCACAGCTCGCGAACACGGCTTTTCGTGGCTGGTAGGCTGTGGCTGGGGACGTTACGGCACAGCTCGGGAACACGGCTTCTATGTTGAACAGAGCTTCAGTCAAAGACGAAATCCGCGCCCTTCGGGCCCGGCAAAACACAAACGTCTCGAAGATGTTCAAAACAAGTCGTGCAAGGCAGCTGGGTTCGAAAGCGACCCCAGGCGATCGCGCTAAAATCTTCCCGACGCTATAGCGCCGCGGCACGAGGCTTCAATCAGCGCGTAATTGATATATGGGCACGGTCAATCCATAAATCTCCGATGTTCTGCCGTCTGCAGAGGCATTTCAGACGAATTCCCGCAGCAACCGTGTCGGTAGAGGACGAAGCGCATTACAAGGCCACCCCCGGGACGGCCCACAAGCAGCGTACCAATTAAGGTGATAGCATCGTAGAACAGCTGAGTCATAAAACTCGATCCATATCAAATAGCACGTGCACATCTACGGCGCTTGAAACGTAGGGCGGTGATAGTTAAGTCTGGCTGAGGCAAAGTTGCGTTCGCAAACTTCAGCACTGTGCAGAGTATTTCGAGACCATAGGGTTGGGAAGGGCGAGCACAGGCAATCATCATTTCGTGCGACATCAAACCACATTTTCCAGCAATGTCTCGTGGGAGGGACGGCTGCCGTGTGAGTTGCAAACGTAGTACTCATTCCCATGCGCGGGAGTCTCCACAAATCCATGGTGCCGCAGTAACCAGAGGCTCACATAGTCGATGGTTATGAGTGTATCCCTCTGGAGCAGCGGACTCTTCTCGCCATCCACACGGTACTCGCCGCCGCCGGCCGCCGCACCGTATGCAACAGCTGATTGCGGCAACAGCTGATTGCCGACGGCCGAGCCGCGCGCCTGAAATTCAGCTGCACGTTAAAAAGAAGGACGGCGCCGGTTACCGGTGAGAATTAAAACGTTCATAAAAGGAACTTTATCAAAAGACAGAGGGAATACAAAAGCGTTTTGTGAGCATATTCTCCCCATGAAACAGTCATAGACCTAAAACGAGGCTCTCATCTGAGATCATATGATTAACCACGGCTTGGCCGAAAACCGTGACTAAGGCCAATGCAATCCCAGAATTCTGTCATCTATGCGTATCCTTCTCAAGAAGCATATATCTGGAATCACTGGCATTGTCACGATGACACGTCAACAACGAGATCCTCTAGTTACCGGCCCTTTTCTGTTGGTTCGGAAGATACCACTGTCATTTTTGGAACCAGCTATATCTCCGGACCCAATCAAGCAGGCGATCGACTGCACCGACTTCAATCTCCCAATCGAGGATCAATGCTAATCTGCCATCCAATACGGCAGGTCCCGGCCGCGCGGTCGGGATTACTCGGAAATTGGAGCCACACATGAGCCGGCAGCAGATCTGGCAGCCGAGACCGCGTCGACATTTTCGCCGAGACACCGATCAGGGCGCCAGAAGTTTTAACGTTGCGCTAAAGACATCATTCCTAAAGCGCCGAGTCGCACATTTCGTGGCAGTCACTCTAACCACAACACTGCCATGTCCCATTTATGTTCCGTCATCCATCGTTGCATGTACTCAACGTACCTCGCTGCGGCAAGCACGCCAGAAATACCAGCTCTGGCGTCAGCCCACCCCGGTACGTGTCACCACGACACTGCCACTCCCAGCCACAGCGCGCATCTGCCTCTGTCTGCGCCGCCGCGACAACGCCGCCATAAAGGCCGTCACGCCGCGCTGCTGTCACTAGCTGCGGCGCTGGCCTGCTTTGGTCAGCTTCGCCGCCTCACGTCCGCTGCGCCACGTGGGCCCACCTCCCCGTCTTGCCACCGGCCCAGCGCTAAGCTGGCCGGTGCCTGAGCCCGCGTCCAGTCCCTGCCCCTGACACTGACGTCAGCGCCATGACAGAGGATGACGGGCCTCACCGGGGCGGTGACGGCCGGCTGTGGTAGCCCCTAGCGCTGGCGTCAGCGCCATGACAGAGGATGGCGGGCTTCACTGGGGCGGCGACGGTCGGCTGTGGTAGCCCCTAGCGCTGGTGTCAGCGCCATGACAGAGGATGACGGGTCTCACCGGGGCGGTGACGGCCGGCTGTGGCAGCCCCTAGCGCTGGTGTCAGCGCCATGACAGAGGATGACGGGTCTCACCGGGGCGGTGACGGCCGGCTGTGGCCGCACCATGTAGCGGTGGATGTTGCCGATGATGTGGGTGCCGACCAGCGTGAACCTGCCGAAGCTGCGACAGTCCACCACGCGGATAGTGATGGGCGGGCAGTACACCTCTTCCTCCGGCAGCTCCTGTCGGCATAGGCTCCAGTGGTGAGTGGGCCACCGGGGCAGTGATGGGCGGACAGTACACCTCTTCCTCCGGCAGCACTTGTCGGCATAGGCTCCAGTGGTGAGTGAGTCGCCGGGGTAGTGTCTGGCGGACGGCGGGCATTCCATTTCCGTGGATCCTGCTGGACGAGAGCACTGCCATGATCAAATGCACACTCCCGACCGAGATTGGACCTTTGCCGGCAGCTCCCGACACTGCTGTGCGACACCCGTCCAGTGGATCAGCGGACGGCGCGGCCACACTCTGACAGTCCGTCATGACAGGGTGCCGCGGACCACGGACCCTGGGGACACTAGCGGACGGACAGCGCAGCCCCTCCCACTGGGGCTGATGTATGTCACTGAACGGACAGCCAGTAACAGTATAGCCAAGTGATTTGACGGCGCTTGATGACCCAAGATGAGGGTCAGGCACGACAAGGACGCCAGTGCTAGACGGACAGGGTGGTGATGGACGGACGATATGGCAGCCTTTCATCGTAGCGAATACCAGCGTTTGACACGTAGGTCGGTAATGAGCAACACAACAACCCCAATCACAGTCCATGCCATGCCCCCCCCCCCCCTCCCCTCCTGTCTTTGCTGGACGCGCAGTATGCTCACAGGTACAATGTAGCATTTGAAACGCCGCGGACAATGTGTTGCCATCCTGTGCACTGGAAAGAAAACTGCACCTTTGCATGCCGGGATGCGAACAGACAGAACACCGCAACACCCGATCAAGATGTGCTAACAAATCTTACACGCACCCCAAGACCCTCAGCCTCTTTAGCTGTTTTCGTTGCTGGCCTAAATCAGCGAAAAGCACTCACTGGTTGGCACTAATTACTTCGGCACAGCCGCCAGCCCGACGCCCGCAGTCATAATGTAATTGCATGGCCACCATGACCGCTGCAAGAAAATGCAAGATAACCGATGACTGACGATGAAGTATGGGATAATGAAGCCGGCATGTTTGTTCTTCGCAGGTAAGACGGCCAAATCGTAGAGTGCAATCTCACGCTGCCCCTTGTGTTCCAGTCACATCATTTGATTGCCTGGCTCAAGTTGCACCTACGCATTTTCACGTTAGCATTATGAGACAAGGACCTTATTTGGCACCATAGTTGAAATGTATGAAACCTGTCATAGACAGGAACACGACCAATAGAACATATTCTGGTCTGGCTCGGTCCCATCCAACTCAATTCGTGAGCATAGAATGGCGAATGGCAACAGTGTAACGAAACAGAAACACTTCCCTGTCAAAATTAACCGGCTATGTTGATAAACCTGGCGACAAGGGATGGGTTTTGCTCTTGTTTACCCCAGTTCTCACGGTCTTCCGACTTGGTACTAGATTAGGTCCCATCCTAATAATTTTAGCATGAAAAAGGCTCCTGTGAACCTGGAAGGCTCGCAGAAATGGACGCCGCAGGAGATCACTTTGAGGAAGTGGGTTAAAACAATCCCCCACCGGGAGTACCTGATGCCTTTCAAAAACAGCAAGAGGTAAACAGACGAGGCTCCGCATGTACTGTTAATAACCAAGTGAACAACTCGGGTTCGATACTCTCCCATGGCGCCTTATTTTATGCAACGTAGAGAGAAAGTGCTGACAAAAGGCGGCTGCATCATATACTGAAATGACATACAAGAAACGAGTCCTTTAAGAACAGGCAGTAGCGGACCAAGCTTTTCATCTAGTGCGGAAAGGAGGGAGTTTGAAGAAAGCAGGTATCTGAACGTCAACATCATTGCTGAAGCATCGCGTTGAAACAGAGCCTTACTTACGGGTTTGTCAATGTCCATCAGACCGTATTCTTCGCAAAATAAAACTGTTGAGCTGAGATCATCACAATGTCACACTTTCATATCCATGAAGATAAACTTCTCGCCTTTAACCTACAGAATTGTATAAGTGGCAGCTTTATCCCCACTTCAACAGGCAACATTTTCGGTGACAGCTTTAGGTTCACGCATGCGCCTAAGTGACTCACCAAGTCCATGATTTTCACAGGCGATGGAAAGTTGGGGTTCTTCCTGTAGTTCTGGATGACCGATGACTGCAGGATATGGCCGGCGCACTCCACGTCGACCCGCGGACTGTCTACCGTGAGGAAGTGGATTCTGCGGAGCGCGCGCAAACCCCAGAAGAGCACCTCGATCCTGCACGGGGGGGGGGGGGGGGAGTCAGTCCGGCCCGTTACCGCACTGCATCGGTCCCAAAACATCCGTCAGGTTCCAACTGACATGCAACTGTCCATGCACAACCATCGCCGCTCACACGAAGATCACGCTATCGAAAAACTGTTCGTTGCGCAAACTGCTTACAGGCTGTCTCGAAACTGGTCCAGGAAGACTTACTCGTACTCGTACTAGACTTACTCGATCGTCACGGAAACAGTTCTGCACTGGAAGCTGCTGACCTGTGACTTGTTCAGCACCATCTACAGCCTGCCTAAAACTAGCAAGGACAACTTTGACCGCTGCGGTAACTGTTCTCTGCGCCCACACATCCGCAGCGACGATCGCTCGTCTGCCCCGGCCGGCCGCGCTAGAAGCCACCGGCGTCTCGGCCCGTGCTTTGCGTCTACACCGCCGCAGCGACGATCCCTCGTCTGTCCCCGCCGGACGCGCTAGAAGCCGCCGGCGTCTCGGCCCGTGCTCTGTGTCTACACCGCCGCAGCGACGATCCCTCGTCTGTCCCCGCCGGACGCGCTAGAAGCCACCGGCGTCTCGGCCCGTGCTCTGCGTCTACACCGCCGCAGCGACGATCCCTCGTCTGTCCCCGCCGGCCGCGCTAGAAGCCGCCGGCGTCTCGGCCCGTGCTCTGCGCCTACACCTCCGCAGCGACGATCCCTCGTCTGTCCCCGCCGGCCACGCTAGAAGCCGCCGGCGTCTCGGCCCGTGCTCTGCGCCTACACCGCCGCAGCGACGATTCCTCGTCTGTCCCCGCCGGCAGCGCTAGAAGCCGCCGGCGTCTCGGCCCGTGCTCTGCGTCTACACCGCCGCAGCGACGATCCCTCGTCTGTCCCCGCCGGCCACGCTAGAAGCCGCCGGCGTCTCGGCCCGTGCTCTGCGCCTACACCGCCGCAGCGACGATTCCTCGTCTGTCCCCGCCGGCCGCGCTAGAAGCCGCCGGCGTCTCGGCCCGTGCTCTGCGTCTACACCGCCGCAGCGACGATCCCTCGTTTGTCCCCGCCGGCCGCGCTAGAAGCCACCGGCGTCTCGGCCCGTGCTCTGCGCCTACATCTCTACAGCGACGATCCCTCGTCTGTCCCCGCCGGCCGCGCTAGAAGCCGCCGGCGTCTCAGCCCGGTCAGTTCGGCCCGTGCACGGGCGTCGCAGTCGGACGGGGACGGATCAATAGGCCTGGACGGCGGCTCGGCGCGGACTCAGCCGGCCCCAGCGGCGGCGGCCGGCGGCCGGTCCGTGGCGCGCTGATGGACGTCCTGCGCGGGATCACTTCGCCGCTCCGTAGCTCCGCCGCTCCGTCGTTTCGTCGCTCAGTCTCTCTACCGCACGCTGCTCCGCCACTCCGCCGCTCCGCCGCTCCGCTGCTCCGCCGCTCCACCGCTCCGCCGCTCCGTCGCTCCGTCGCTCCCCGCTCCCCCGCTCCGCCGCTCTGTCGCTCCGTCGCTCCGTCGCTCCCCGCTCCGCCGCTTCCCCGCTCCGTTGCTCCGTCGCTCCGCCGCTTCGTCGCTTCGTCGCTCCGTCGCTCCGCCGCTCCGCCGCCCGACGCCCGACGCCGCCCGGCACATTGCGTCGTGTACGCCGCATGTGGCATGCGTGGTCGTGGCTTGCCTGTAGTAAACGTGCCATATATCGGAGAGCGCGGGCTGGATGCCGCGCTTTTTATCCTTTGCCTCTGCGTTACGTGCCTGCACCCGCTCGTAATTTTACCTCTTGTGCTGAAACACCGCCATGCGCTCAGGTGTCATGGCCAATATAGCCGAGTTTTGAATCCGGGCACTCCCCTGTAGCCCACCCCCTGGTCAGTCCATTGTACCCCCGCCTTGTCTGCATTAGTCATCTGTTTTGTTTTTCGCTATCTCTCGCGCAGAGACAGAAGACGCGTTTGTTTGCACGTTCGCTGGTCAGCTATTTAACAACATGAGTCAGAACTCACGATAGCCTTTAGTTGAAAGCCGACATCACCCCCCGTGCGATGTCCTGTTTGATAACGACACCACCAGACAGTCCCCGCCGTGGTCTGCATGCGTCCCGCAGAGCAGCAGCAGAAAGGCCGCCTGTCCGGCGTACCTGTATTTGACGAGAGTCGGTCGGATCTCCTTGGGAATAGGCATGATCGGGCCCGTGTCGCGGCTCGGGTCGCGGTACTTGGGCGGCGGCGGCGCCGGGATGTCGCCTGCCCTCGGATCATCGCACACCTGTCCGGCGAACGGGGTCAGCCGCAGCACCACACCGAAAACCTCACGCCGCGATAGAACGAGCTCCATGGAAACGTCGTGCATCGATGGTGAGCCGGGGAAATGATTGGTCCAGGGTTAAGTTTTGTTGATCTCGTACCGATAACGTATAGATCACTCGACGCCGACAGATCGACTCTTCCCGACTGGTTCCGATGTGGCTGGGTGAGTACACAGGTTTGGAGTGTTCTAACACGCGAGATGTGTCTGCTCCATTCTGTTATAACTCCCCAAATTTAAAACAAATATGAAATCAGTGTGCTAGGTTCCCGGACATTATGACAAGATGAGGCTCACTACACAGCCAGTAATTCATGTACAGCAGAGTAGATAAACCGAAATGTACGTAAAGAGGCATCACATATATACGATTCCATCCACGTTGTACAGATGCCTCACTCCATGAACTCCACTTGCATCACGGGCAGTCTTAATAGCAATGTCAGACAGCAAGCAAAACATCGGACATTTTATTACTGTCTTTGTGCGCAGGTTACATTCTCTGAAAAGCTCATAACTTGAAAAGCGTTGGATTCTTCGCCGAACTTTTTTGCACGCAAACTACTGCACTCCGTGCGTCTCGGCAGTCGGCAGCAGCGCGCATTGCTAGCGGTCTGATCTGTCCAGGACGGCGTCTCACCACCTGGAGGAGCTCGAAGACGGCCAGCAGGTCGCCGGCGGTCTCCGTGCCTCGCACCAGCTGGTGCCACTCGAGCGGCGGCGGGAACCGAGGCCGCTCGTACGGCTCATCCAGCAGTTTCAGGTGCGGACGAGCCATGGTGCGCCCGATGAACTCCGCCTTGCCCTGCCGACACGGACACAGGTCACAGGACATAGGTCAGAGGGCACGGCTCAACACCGTAGGTGGCGCTGGCACAGGTCAGAGGGCACGGATGAACTCCAGAGGTGGCGCGGGCACGGGTCAGAGGGCACGGCTGAACTCAAGAGGTGGTGCGGACACAGGCCACAGGTCACAGGGCACAGGTCAGAGGGCACGGCTTGAGTCCAGACGTGATGCGGACATAGGTCAGAGGGCACGGCTGGACTCCAGAGGTGGCACGGGCACAGGTCAGAGGGCACGGCGGGCTCCAGAGGTGGTCACTGAGGGGGTCACGCTGTTGTATGTCCTGTGTTTCTGCTGTGGTGTTTTAGCGTAATGAGGTGAAAGATACACTGGCTTCACAATCCTTTACGCAGTTTGTTGTGGTGCGGCTAGTGGGGTATGCGCGCCGCGTGCAGCAATGGAGCCCGAGTCTCCTCGGCAGATTGCGGGAGCAGGAGATCGACTGGATCGACCAGACACAAAGCCATTGAGGAAGTCCGCTGGAAGCCGCGAGGACGCTAAGGTAATACGATTAGACCGAATCAGCACGAAAAGTACGCCTCTCAAGTCACATCCGCCACAAAACGTGTAACACGCGAGCAAATTACGGCTGACGACCGTCCAGTTGGCCCACGCAACATAGCTAATGTTTCTGAGAAAGCTTTCAAAACTTTGGTGGCTCTGACGGAACTACACGTGTTTGGCTCGTTCGTACTTTATGAAGTTCCCTGTCAACACCAAGACGCACTGGCATGGAACTGGCGGGCAAGCATATGGGGTCTGCAGAGTTGTGTATAAGCATCGCCAGGTCGACAAGCCAGGCGTTTGCAGCGAGTGAGCAAAGCCCTTGCTTAGCAACAAATCCCGGACATGCATTTTCGACAGAAACTCAGTACGACACAAGCTGCTGTCACACTCCCGAGGCCTTTTTCGGTTTCCGGCAGGACGCCGTCATCTGCTGTACCAGTCTCCACCGATGGGTGGCACGGGAGGACAAACGAGGCGACCAGCAGCCGCCGGCGCAGCCTGGTGCCGACCAGCCATTTTAAGATCTGTGTTGCGCAGCTGGAGCCGACCTAGCAGCCAGCTCCGCTGGCTCGAGCCAGCTGACGCTATTCGGGCGCATTCCCACGTTTATGCCCGGAGACCGGAGCCCGAAAATTTCTTACTCCAACTTGGATAAGGGAAACGCCGCGGGACAGCAACCTCCGCCAGAACCTGCCTGGTCATGGGAACCTGAACCAGTGTCTGGGCCGCCTGGTTACATGTGCATAAACGACCATCACGAAAACCAAGTTTTACCAGTACCGGACCTGCGAATCTCTAAATAGAAGGGTTGCGCACCATTGAACGCTTGGAGATTGCATCGGCATCAATAGCTACCAGGTTATTCCAACGCATACACCAGGCCGATGAGTAAATGCGATCTCCTGCCTTGCCCAGCTCTACACCTCATCACCGGCGGACGCGAGGTGTGTGTGGGGGGGGGGGGGGGGAGGGGAGGGGACAATGGGGCCATAGCCTCACGTGGCGGCAACAGAAAAAACATGCAGGATTTAGTACAGACCCTTGGTTAAAAAGCAAGGTGTCCCGAACTTTCTGGAGATACCACATCGGTGTGGTGCTGGTTGAGTTTCTCACCATCTTATCCTGGTCGAACACCTCCACCACCACGGTGGGAGGCTCGTGGCATATCGCCTCGGGGCTGCCGTAGACGGTGACGTCATCGACCAGCAGCAGCTCGTCCCAGGTGGGGCTCAGCGTTTCGTCGATCACCTGCCGAGCATAGATGACGTCAATGGGTTGTACAAACAGCAAATCTCGCGGTATTAGCTTAAAAGTAAACGGCCAACTCCCGCTGCGGTCCAAAGGTAAAGCCCCATATGTTCGTTTGTAGTTTTTATAGTCTACATACCTTGTCTATATGTCAATATGTCTATTTCTATGTCTATGCCTATGTCTATAGCCTATCGTTATAGTCTAGTCTATCTTGCGTTTTTTTATGTCATCTGATTTGTCTTCTCATGCTGTATTCGGATATTCAAAGCAATAGTTGCAATTTTCATCAGCTTTTATCTAAAAGAATGGGTTAAGGGTTTGTGAAAATTTCAACTGATTATTTGAATAACCGAAATCAGCATAAGTGGACGAATCAGATGACATAACAAGTGCAAGATGGCCAAAAAATAGCTTATGGGGTTTTATCTTTGGACAGGCAGCCGGTAGTGTTTGTTGTTGACCTAGGATGACGACTTGCGACTCGAGTTGGTGTTCCGCTTAATGCAAAAACCTCTTTTTAAATAGTTTTTCCCGCCTCACCTTCCATGCGGCAAGTCACAGGTTCATCAGAATAATGATTGCATATAATCCACTGACTATGGGTTCCTTCCGTTTAAATTTTATCAGTGCCAAGCTTAAGACATGCTGATACAGTTTGGTGCATAGCATCATGAAACACATTTAAAAACAGCGTCGGTAAAATACAATACATAGGAAAATAAAGCGTACGTCATCGCACACATTCGCTTCCAAGAGCTCAAAATTAGTATTTTTATTTTGTCACATCACAAGAGCAAAATCGACGCAAAGGTGCGCACACTGAATGCTGCATACGCTGATGACGTCGGTGAGACGTCGAACGGACTGACCTGTGTGGTGCGACTGTGCTCTCCGAACACGACCCTGGCGAACGGGTCGGACAGGCCGGACGAGTCGGAGCCAATCAGAGAGCGCGCCTGGTACACATGCGCCCTCAGCTGGAACGTCTGCGGTGAAAGTCAGGCCGACAGACGCATCAGCTGCCGGCAGCAGTCACCCCGGCACGCTGCTGCCCGCTGACGTCACACCAGGGAAAGGGAAATAGACAGCCCCGTCGTGTGACTTGCATGGGCTAGCTCGTGCCGATACTAACGTCACATAATTTTGCTCTCTGAGAATATGCACTCGTCATGGGCTTCACGGACATTTTCTCTCCATAAATTTCATTGGAAAGTTTCTTCTCCGTCACATGCATGTTTATGCACTGTTCCACAATGTGCTTTGTATCTCGCCGTTGGGACTGAGCCTGATCTGTAGCGCTCCTTAGTGAGAGGGCCTCCCTCACCGTCACCTGTGGGCTTCCTCTTCATCCCCACCGGGCTACCTTTGTCGCTATGGGCCTTCTCTCGTCGCCGAATTCTTCCACATTTTGTCTACAACCACGCGGGGCCCGCCTCATCATTTTAGTCTTCCCTCTCCGTCCCTTTCGCACAGGCCCTTCTCTCCATCAAAGGACGCTATCCCATTCAACCCGATCCTCTCCGTCTATCTCCGTGTATCTCCGTCTATCACTGCAACCCCCCTCCGCGTCATATGGAGTCTTCCTCTCTATCACAATGGCTTTGGACTTCTCCTCCATCCCTTCCTATTACACAGGGCATCGTTCCCCAGTATCACCGGCCGCCGTCCCCAGCACCACGGGCCTCCCTCGCCGCCGTTCTGGGCCTTCCTCCTCGGCAGTCCGGGTCTCGCTCCCTATTACTGCAAGCCTCTCTCCCTCCCACTCCGAGCCTCCTTCCCTCTTACTCCGGGCCTCCCTCCCTCTCACTTCGAGCCTACTTCCCTCTCGCTCCGGGCCTCCCTACCCTTCACTCCGGGCCTCCTTCCCTCTCACCCCGAGCCTACTTTCATCTTACTTCGAGCTTCCCTCCCTGTCACTCCGGATCGCATTTACTCTCACTCTGCGTACCCTGCCCTTTCACTCCGGGCCTTCCTCCCTCTCACCCCAAACCTCCTTTCCTTTCACCTTGGATCTTCCCTTCTCTCTATCCGGGCCTCCCCCCTTTTCCCTCCGGGCCTCCTTTCCTTCTATCCCGACCTTTCGTCTCTCAAACCGGGCCCCCTTCCCGTTTACTCCAGTCCTCCTCTTTCACTCCGGGCCTCCCTCCCTCTCACTCCGGGTTCCCTCTCTTTCACTCCGGGCCTCCCCTTCTCTCGCTCCGGGTTCCTTCCTTTTCACTCCGGGCCTCCCTCCATTTCACTCCGGGCCTCCCTCCCTCTCACTACGAGACTCCCTCCCTTTCACTTCGGGCCTCCCTCCCTCTCACTCTGGGCCTCCCTCCCTCTTACACCGAGCCTCCCTTCCTTTCACTCCGGGCCTCCCTCCCTCTCACTCCGGGTTCCCTCTCTTTTACTCCGGACCTCCCTCCCTCTCACTCCGGGCCTCTCTCCCTCTTACTCCGGGCCTCCCTGCCTCTCACTACGGGCCTCCCTCTTTCTCACTCCGGGCCTCCCTCCCTCTCACTCCGGGCCTCCCTCACCTGGCGCTCCACGTAGCGCAGCGAGGCCGGCGGCATGGCGTTGGGCCGGTCCGAGTTACGCAGCTCGTGCGACATCTCAAACCCGCGCGGCAGGCCGGCGTAGAAGGTGCTCTTGTGCTTTGTCAGGCCCAGCCACATGTACACTTGCAACTTGGCCTGGATTACCCAGCCGCCGGCGCCCTGGCCGCGCTTGCCCGGCAGCTGGGGAGAACACGAGGTCAGACGCCGCCGCCAGCAGAGCGCGCCGGGGCACCGGACACATGTCCGTAGTTACGAGGCCCAGATTGTGGAGGTTATGGGCCCAGCAGCCCAATGATGCAATCTTGCTGGCTTCAAAACCCTCGTAATGATCGCCTAAGTATATCAGGAGCCAGTGACATCGCACCATTGGGGTAATTCGCAGCTGTATAACTGTCGTTACCGTTTGAAACGACACAGACGGTAATGGGCAACGACATGCGAAATACGATGGCTGTCATTAGAACAGACCACACCCAGGCGCCGAGCACGTGCGCTCGCTCATATCGCTCACGCCCCACGTCCTCGAAGGGGGCCATTCATTCTGAGCACGCCGCCATCGTCCAAACAAGCGCTTCACACTAAGCTGCCCGGACGTCAGCTGGGTTGGCTGAAACGCCACCAGCCGACACGTGGGCAACGGACTTGTCCTGGACGGCCGGTGCAAAGGTCACGCACGGAGCTCGCCCAGCGCCAGACGGTAGTTACGATGGTCGTAACGAACCGTCGGTCGGCGCGTCCAGCCTGCTCGCGCCGGTAATGAGTGGCTGGCGCGCCACTTCTGCCGCGATTCGCGCCTCGGGAAGAGGCCGTCAGATTGGCCGTGGCGTGGGCGCGAGAGTCGCGCACGGTTGCTGGTGGACGACTGCTGAGCCCTGGGTTGCCTCAGCCAGGGCGTGCGGCACTGTGGAACGGCCTAACGCCGTGTTGCCAGCCAAGTCACCCACGACTTCTGTCAGCAGTCAGCAGACAGAACATGAGAAGGGGAAATACCGAGGGGGCATGTGAATTGTCACCTTTAGAAAGAGGGGCGTTGAGGCATGTACCCTGCTAGTATCTCTGACTGGGGAACATTCAACTATGAAGCGCTGGAAGTCGGAAGCAGCGGGGAATAGCATGATGTTTCGCCAAAACATCTCGGCATAATTGAGTAACGCTGGAAACCCCAGCAGCACTAGTAGAGAGTCTTGGTGCTCCCATCTATTTATTCGCGGCGTCTTCGAAACACGCGACGAGTGCATTTTCGTACGCAACTCGGGAGACAAAAAGAGTTCATAGTCTTCTTTAAATATAGCACGGCGATACTGTATGCCGCCAGCAGCGGGAAATCAGAACTAGGCGCATAAGTGAACTGCCAACTCGCAATAATGTTTCAGCGCTTAAATGTAGATGCGCGCTTTGAAACTCATCCAACAGATGCGCACGTGTACAGCATAATGGACTCGTGGACGGCAAGTGGCGGTCAACGTGATTTGAGCTGGGGGAGGGAGAAGGGGGATGCAACATACAACCGCGGGGGGGGGGGGGGTGGGAGGAAACCCGAATTTCTTGCCCAGGCCATAGTGAAAGCCTAACATAATGATTTCGCCATCTTGGGAGTCATGTTGGCCCCTGAGTTCACCAGTGATCGGACCCGCCAAAGCCTAACGGGCTTCTACGACAAAGGTTGAACATTGTGTAAACGCATAGCACGACAATCGGTACTTATCGGCTAGAGGGCCGCATAAAATTGTACCATAGTTTTAATCACTTGGACGGCATAGTTCTCTGCCTAGAAATCAGCTGTGCCCAGCAAGACCCTGGATGCAACCAAATGGTTAAAGTGACACCACTTCTATCCTAAGTGAAAACAGGAAGAAACATGGCATCTAAAAGTCTCCTCTGCCCAGGGTAGAAGAGATTCCGGGTGCCCGGTAGAGCGAAATCCTGTACAGAAATTGCATCACAAGGCTAAAATACATACTAGATGTCTGAGTGTGAGCTAGATCTTCAGCCTGTTTTGAACATTTGGCGGCCTGTAGCTGAAGTTAACGCAGCGCGGATGCTACAACAGTGGGTGCATTCAAGGTGTAGATGAATGTTACGTCAATATTTTTTGCAAGATTCTCAACGAGTTGCAAGCTGCATTACACATACAGCATGCATCGGCTGTTGGCAAACAATTGATCTTCCGCACGCAGCCGGTCAGAACGCCCAGCACCTCCCGGCCTCGACCGCGCAGCTTTCTACTCGGGGACCCGGTATGTTACCTGCTGCGCCACGGTTGCCGCCCGTTGTCGCTCAAAAATCGGAAAATTCACGACGCGCCGTGTATGAAATCTGTAGCCCGATACAACGTGAAGGTTCGACTTCTGTAGAACGAAAAGTGTTAATGGAGCAACCAAAGAAAATTAAACAATATCTATTCTGGTGCTGCGCTGACCGAAATTGGCAATATAGAATTCGATCTCTGGTCTGCGAGAACCAGGCCATTGACATCTGAACATTATGGGATAGAAGGAAAAGTACGCCATGGAGCAACTGTGCTGCCAACGTGCTTCGGTGGGGACCGTCCCCCGCCTACACAACAGACATCTCACCGGAGAACAGTGCAGGGGTAGTTCTGCTCGTCTGCTTTTCCATCCTGGTACCAGCACCGCCCTCAGTAGAACACTCCTAAACCAGTCTGCTCAAACGGAGTCCACCCGCCACCACTGTCGTGTCGTTAATCATTTTGACGAAGTGGTTTTGTGGAGTAATTTCGCTACGACACGACTGAGTGGACCTCCGCCATAAACGTAAATGTCCAGCGTCCTGCCTTGCCACGTTAGGTCCAAGCGAATACGGTGGTAATAAGCGTTCTTGAAGTCTCTCAGAAATGGCCTTTGATCAGCACATATCGATCGATCATATGCTCACTGCCTAATGCACTGTACACTCATGAACGATAATGATGGACTTCCCCAAAGTAACCAGCTTCCGCGTACAGTCTCGAAAACAGCAGCGCTAGGGGCCATACCTCCTGGCTCTGACGCGTCAGCGGACGACGAACTAGCCTCTGACTGCTCAAGACGAGTCGCGTCGCCGCTCTGCTTACAATATAATTAGTCCCGGCAAACCGCAACCTGAGCGGACCTCAGGCTGTCAACACACCAACCCGCGGAGACCTCAGGCTGTCAACGCACCAAAGCGCGGAGACTTCAGGCTGTCAACACACCAAAGCGCGGAGACCTCAGGCTGTCAACAGGCTAAACCGCGGAGACTCTCAGGCTGTCAACACACCAAAGCGCGGATACCTCTACCGGCTTCGTGTCAACACACCAAAGCGCGGAGCTCAGGCGTACAGGACAGGCTGTCCAAAGCGGGACTCAGGCTGTCAACCAACGCGGAGACTCAGGCTGTCAACAGGCTACCACGGAGACTTCAGGCTGTCCAACAGACCAAAGCGACGGAGACCGTCAGGCCTGTCAACATACTAAACCACGAGACTTTGCAGGGCTGTCAACCACCAAAGGCGCGGAGACCTCAGGCTGTCCAACAGGCTAAACCCACGGAGACTTCAGGCTGTCACACACCAAGCGCGGAGACCTCAGGCTGTCAACAGGCTAAACCACGGAGACTTCAGGCTGTCAACACACCAAAGCGCGGAGACCTCAGGCTGTCAACAGGCTAAACCGCGGAGACTTCAGGCTGTCAACACACCAAAGCGCGGAGACCTCAGGCTGTCAACAGGCTAAACCACGGAGACTTCAGGCTGTCAACACACCAAAGCGCGGAGACCTCAGGCTGTCAACAGGCTAAACCGCGGGGACTTCAGGCTGTCAACAGGTCAAGCCGCGAGGACCTCAAGCTGTCAACATGCCAAAGCTCGGGGACCTCAGGCTGTCAACAGACCAACCCACGGGGACCTCAAGCTGTCAACAGGTCAAGCCGCGAGGACCTCAAGCTGTCAACATGCCAAAGCGCGGGGACTTCAGGCTGTCAACATGCCAAAGCGCGGGGACCTCAAGCTGTCAACAGATCAACCCGCGGGGACCTCAGGCTGTCACCAGACCAACCGCGGAAACCTCAGACTGTCAACAGACCAGCCCGCGGGGACCTCAAGCTGTCAACAGATCAAACCTCGGAGACCTCAAGCTGTCAACAGGCCAAACCGCGGAGGCCTTAAGCTATCAATAGGCCAAACCGCCGGGACCTCAGGCTGTCAACAGACCAGACCGCGGGGACCTCAAGCTGTCAATATACCAAACCTCGGAGGCCTCAAGCTGTCAACAGGCCAAACCACGGAGACCTCAAGCTATCAACAGGCCAAAGCGCGGGGCCTCAGGCTGTCAACAGACCAAACCGCGAGGACCTCAAGCTGTCAACAGACAAAACCGCTGGAGCGTTCGAAAAGACCGGAGCTGTCAGACTTCCCAACATTGCTACCGTGCGGGACAAAGTCATACTCTGTTGTGTTCAGTCTTGAGCACTTGGGACGGAGACGTGCTTACCTTGAGGAAGAGAGTCTGCACCTTGCCGCAGTGCTGGCCGGCCTCCTCTTCCACCAGCGAGTGGAGCAGGTTACGGGCCCGCAGGCGCTGGTAAGCCACTCTCTTGCCGCCGCACACCATCCAGATGAAGACGTCTGGGAGGCTGTGCTGAGGCTGCAGACACGGCACAGCGGCTTTCACACCTAGTCAGTGACATTGCACAGCGGCCATCACGCCTCAGTAAGTAACACAGCACAGCGGCTTTCACACCTAGTCGGTGACATGGCACAGTGTCTGTCACACCTAATCAGCGACACCGCACAACGGCTGTCACAACTAGCGACCAACAAGCGACCTGGCATAGCGACTGTCACACCCAGCTAGCGACATGGCACGGCGGCTATCACACCTAGTTAGTAACGCAGCACAGCGGATGCCACACCTAGCCAGCGACACAGCATGGCGGCTGTCACACACACAGCGACGCAGCACGACCACCGACAGTCATCGACGCAGCACGGGGGCTGTCACGGACAGTCGGCGACAGCATGGGGGCTGTCACGGACTGTCAGTGATACCGCATGGCGGCCTCCACGCACAGTCGGCGACACAGCCCAGCGACTGTCCCAGACCGCCAGCGACGCAGCACAGCGGCCGCACCGTCAAAACCGGAGCAACTAAGCTGAACAGAGGCGGTGATGTTCCGCCCTCGAGTCATGTGTTTTCAGCGCG